TTCTTATCAGAGTGACCTAAAAAGATTTCATTGATACTAGAGATCACCTTTGTTCTTTTATACGCTATTGCAGAGTAAATATACATGTTGGCAGGCTGTGATTGTAATACAAATAAACAATCCGGCACAAAATACAACACTGACACGAGTTTACAATCAAGTCTTTTTACTTTTATTTGTGTCCACAGCTCGAAATAGCTATTAATAAATAGCTGATTGAGATCAGTCCCAGAAATGCAGATACAGTATAATTCAGTATAATTCCCATTACCTGCAACCATCAGTCCAATTTTTTAACTCAGCTTTCGTCTTGCAATCCTCTTTTTTCATGTATCAATAAATATTGTATTTCCTCGATTTACTTCTTGTTACTGCTACTTGATTACTCTTCTTTTTGTGAAATATCTCAACAACTATTGCTGGATTGACGTGTAATTTTGTACTGACAGTCATGTAAATGTATACATTGTGATAAATCAGTAATTTGGCAGCAATGAGTTTGTAACTTCTTGTTCGAAAGGGCTCAGTGGAGTAAAGTCTGGCTCACAACTTCAATCAATCAAAACAGCTCGAAAAACGATAATGAGCATGACCCTTCAACCTCTTCTGAGCTGCAAACAGCCTCATCCACCGGCCTTTAAAATCCTCACGGTCACCTTCTCTACATCCAACTATGGTGAGTTTGCAGTGTCCTTCAGAGAAAAGTCTGGTAGAATAATAAATGATGATGTTTGTAAGCCCCTGCCTCTGCAGGAAAATACTTTGAGCCACTTTGCTGCTGTTGAGAGAGGAAATACTAAGGAAAGAAGTAATGCAGCTTAAATCCTGCACCAGCTTACTGGATCCTATCCCAGATGCTTTTAAAAGGGTATCCAGTTGACTATAGAGGATTAAGTACCGGCTATTTCCCTTACTGATATCTATCCCATCCTGGAAACTGCTATTGTTAAACCGCTCCTGAATGTAACCTTGGTGCTTTGGTTTGAACAATTTTATAGTATTTCGGTATTTTTCAAATTAAAAGCACTACTAAAACAGCTTGATTAATACATTCACATTCATTTGGCTTTTTATGATCACCACAGCATTGAAACAGCACTTAAGCAACAACAAAAAAATGAAGATGGGATGAGACCATTTCAACTTTTTCATGCTTTTAGACTCAAGAATGTCTTTGATATTCTCAAAAAACACACAAATGTGTTCACCCGTGGCTGCAAACGCTTTGAAGTTGAGTTTCTAAATCCTTACCCTGAAAATTGTGTCTCAATCTCTTCAGGATACATTTATCCTGCGCCTTCTCACTTGTGTTATTGATTTTATCATAAATCATCGCTCCTTCTCTTAAGACTGAACCAAACCAGGCTGACGGATGCAGCCATCAGGCCTGCAGCTGCATCCTTCATTCCTCGCCTACAGCTCTTGAGGGAACGATTGGGCAGCTTGGCATTTCTCTGTGATTGAATTGCACTCTGCCCCCTTGTGGACGCTGATCCGTAGTCAGGGACGGGGAGGTGGTTTGATGGCCGGCCAATCACAAATGGCGAGTCCCTGCAGAGTAATTTCCCTGTGAACCATGTTCACAATAGTTGATTAACGTGTGCAGATCTTGTCAAACCTGCACAGAGACACATTTCATGGTCCATAAGAGCAAAGTGTTGCATTACATACAGTGTTCTCTAGATGTGGAGATCAGTCTTATTCTGCTTTATGACAGCAACTCAAAAAATGTACTGAAAATCAGTCATGTTATGAAGTTAACGTAAAAATCATGCCGGCAATCTATGAATACATCTGTTTGTTCAATCTGCAGAAAATTAAAACCATTTATCACTCTGCACCGGTTGACTTCTTCCACTCAGTCACAGCCGAGCCAGCAGACAGCAGTGAAATTAGGGAGCGTTAAAGTATTAATCTTTTGAAATTGCTTTTTTAATAGCAGTCGAGGTGGCTGGCGAGGCCACATTAGTGCTACTGATGAGGAGGGCTGAGACATAAGCTCTTTAGGTTGAATAGACTATCACCATCTCAGTGGTCGCTTGTCTAAATGTGCTAAAATGAGATAAAATGGCTGCTTGACTCAACATGGCTTGGGTGTGTTTCACTGAACTCTTGATAAGCATGTCCCGTCCTGTCTTTACAGGAAGTCTAAACAACTTGTTTTCACATAACATCTTATCTTAATTCATCTACTGGAATGTCTTATTCTGGAATAGAACAGCTGAAGAGGTTTTAACTGAAACTGTACGTGGGAGGGATGATTGAGAAACTGCTCCGCGATGATGTAAAAAACTAATTAAAATGAAAATGATATGTTAACACCATGACTGATTTATTCCAATTCTCAGAACAGTATGTTCAACTGGCAGTTCATATAAGCAGCTTTATCCAGACACTGACTGCCAAATTCAAAACCCAGCACCAGGACTATAGAATATAATATAATAATATGTAATATCATATCATATCATATCATATCATATCATATCATATCATATAATAATATCATATAATATCATTTAATTTAAAACAATTTCATGTCATGTCATATCATATCATGTCATATCATGTAGGATTTTGTCATGTTCTGTGCACAAAAGATAATATTTTATTCCAATTAAAAAAATACTAATATAGTAATTCTCTCTAACATTCAATATTTTTGACAAAAGAAGCAACAATCATGGTAAAAGTTTGAAATGTGATATATTTACATCCTTGTTTATTAACTCCAGGACCGTGTGTGTGTGTGTGTGTTTGAGTGTATCCCCCCAAGGATGCACATACACACATTATACATTCCTACCAATGGTTTCACACTAATCCACTTATCTACAGGCACCAAGAAAAACAGAAATGCACCAGCAATGCAGCGCAGAAGAGGAATGCTATCAAGAACACATGGACATTTACAAAATCCAGCGTCAAAATGGTCAAAATGCTTGGCTTTCTAAATATCTTCTGAGGAAGTGAATGCACTCAAGGTGTTTAGACCTCAAGGATACACACACACAATGCTTTCTGGTGAGTAACACTGAATGTAATCAGAAGTGTTGTTTGTTTACAAGAAAAAAACAATAAAAATTCCACTCGGCACGTTTAACTTTATTGCTCAGCATAAGCAAACACAAACATCATCGGTGAGTTTGAGTCAAATGTAAATAAATCCCATAGAAACACATGACATCACCTTTTACTAGCAGAACCTCAGACCAGTGAGACAAGTCGAGATAAAACAGCACAGTGAAATATTGTATTAAATAACCAGAGAATGATGTGTGTTCATGAAGGACTCCCATCATTCACAGTAAGAAGATGATTAAGAAATGTTGTTGAAGGCTGAAGTTAAGTACTCTATCATTACATTTAATGGAAGAAAAAACAGCTAAATAAAATCAAGACGAGATTTAGAAAAATAAAAGGGATTAAGCCACACTCAGCTCCTCAGTTCGTAATTTCAAAGTCGAGACAACCTAATGGCATCTAGCGTTGGCTATCAGCAGCAATGATATACAACGAGCCTTTACATGATGAATAAAAGACAGTTTAAAGGAGAGTTAGGGTCACTTTGGACCAATTCGACTTGGAACCAGAGTCAGACTCATAATCTCAGGATGTAACTAAATCTTGACGCATTACACTTCAGCTGGATTTTCTTTAATGATCAGCACGATGTGAGTGACACAAACAGGTGATGATATGCTGTGAGTGTGTGTGCGTGCGTGTGTGTGTGTGTGTGTGTGTGTGTGTGTAGCTCTTAGCTCAGGGGCCAAACTGCAGCACTCAAACAGAGTGCTGCTGTCACCGCTATAAACTGACGTGTCACATCTCCAGGGACCTGCTTCATCACCTGTGACACAAAAAAAACTGGGTGAGGCGTCCCTATGGACACGCTGCCGTATTGTGTCACAGTGACATGTCATATGTTCTGCTCCGTGAGGACGCCCAGTGAACACCTGCACTCAGAATAAAAGGACAAAAAACACAATATAATTTATTTACAAATTTAAGAAGAAGAAGTTAAAACAAAACTACAACCAATGCTGTGTTGGATACTTCCGTTAGTACACGTCCATGTAGTACACGATTGTAGCACATTGTGTACATTATGTACTTACTTGCATTGTGCATGAATTTTGACAGGGTAGTGTTGTCTGAAATCGGACACAGCTTTTGTGCTGTTGAGGAAATTATGATCGCTAACAGCTTTATCGCTTGCAATGCCAAATAGTGGAGAGGCGTTGTAAATTAGCATTTCACTACAAACACTAAACACATCACATCTGGTCTTTGTGCGTAAATAGTTGCTATAATCCTAATGCTACTGGGATGTCCATACCAAATGAACTCAACTAAACTAAATTACAGACTCATGGCTTCTATAATAACCAAATCAAGTTATTATCAAACTGTTGACATTGTTCAGTCGAAACAAAAAATGGCGGATCAACTGACCAACATTGTTTGTGTTGACTAAGGTGTATTTTTTTCAGCCTGTCTGGCTCTTTAAGCATTATCTATGTTTTAAATGAATTACTATCATGTTGGGAAAACAGTGTAACTGTAAATCATGTAACTAAAGCAGAAGCAGTTGTTGCCTCTCCGTGTCGGCTGTCATCTGATCCCAGGAGGGAGAAATGTCTGTCTGTTTGATTAAAGCACACAAAGTCAGGCCATTAAAAGTCTTCTGTCAAAGCTTTGGTGAAAACTGTGTAAACTTTAATGAATAATTAATAGACAACTATCACTTTACTGGAGATAAGCTTGCTAGGTTGCCATGGCAGAGATGCATGTATTATTTACTGGCAGTGTGAGTCCGACTGTAAGGCAGCTTACAGGCTCTCAGTCGTTTTTAGACCTGTTCAAACAGCGAGGATTAAACGTGGTAGTAATCCACGGGGGACAAACCGGTGTGCCTTAGCTGCGCGTCTACCTCCGAATGAAAAGAGAGGAGCTACACAGTGGTGTTGTGGACCATGTAATGTGGCAGAGGGTTTGCCATGGAGGGGACGATGCTGGTGGCTGGACAGGAGAAGCCACAGAAGCGGGTGAGGTTCCGCGTGGCTTCGGGGAACAGCGGCCGGGTGCTGAAGGAGATGTTCAAGGATGAGGGGCCTTCAGACTCCCTGGATTCGGACTGCACCAGCAGCTCTGACGCAGAGCGGGCCAGCACCCCCTCTACGAGTGGAGAAGGACACCTGTATGGATACCTGGGCTCCGAGCTGGACGACAGCGAGTGCGAGCCGGACAACCTGCTCATGTACGCCGCGGGGGCCACCAAGGATTGGATGTTCACCACCAAGAGGGTCAACATACTCAGTAAAAATGGCACCGTGAGAGGGGTCAGGCACAAAGTCAGCGCAGGTCAGACGCTGTTTGAAAACCTTCCCAATTCCAACAGTGTAAGTACATCTGACAGGGCCTAGTTTCATCTTATTGTTTGATACAATCTAAAATATAACACCAGTTCCCATCAGTGTCGTCTCCGTCCTCAAGTCTAGTTACAGGTAGGAGAAACTCGAAGGCGTAAGACTGGAATAAAAGCTCACAATAGAGGACAAGCTCACAGACCAATTAAAGATTAATGATGCATTTCGTTAAGTGTTTCAAGAGAAACTAATCAGGTTAATGAATTCCAGCCACTTTCTAGTATCCCTGCCGGGGACGTGTTTTTGTATTCTGAGGTAACTCTTTGGCTCGTGTGCTGATGCAAAGGTGATGTCGAGGGTCACATTGATGAGGCCGTTTCTCTGCTTGGTGGTGTTTGGTGAACAAACAGCGTCACCGTAGACTCATTAAAGCTCCTCATCACTTTTTGAGGGGGAAGTTTAGATGCTTGTCACAGTCTGATCTTATCCAAAAGGAACATTCTGGTGTTTTTGCATGTTTTATCAATGTACAAAAATCACGCACACATTACATTATCACCAATGATGTTTAACAGCATGCCGTAACTTCTTAAATGTTTGATAGATTTTGACTCACTTGTTGGATGTGGCTGTTCCGTCAGAATGAAGCTTTATTTATTTAGATAATATAGGAAGCATTGTGTGTTATTGCTATGCAGACTTTGCAACAACGTCTTTACTTTTACCTGCAATAGCTTTCATTAAAAACATGACATGTTGATACATTTTTTAAGTTTCTTTACAGTAAATTGATTTCCAAACTCTGTTGAAATAAATAGTAATCAGAGGCTGTCTGGAAGGGAGGATGAGCACACTTAAAAGTATAAAAATCTTAAAAGGTGATGCGAAGAATACATAAATGGTTAAAACACTTTCTAATGAGCCACCTCATATGAAGGGATTATAAATGATAACCTCCAAACACAAGGCCGAGGAGGGGATTAGATGCCATATTTAGGATCTGCTTTGGTGAAATCCTGGCTTCACCTTGACAAACTGTTCATCATATTAAAGCACAAAGCCTCACAATTCTTAATCATTTGAAGCATTTTAAGATCCCAACGGTTGCTTGAATTGTAACAGGGCTGCTCAGAGAACACAACAGTAATATCGTCTCTTTTTAAATGAAAATGTATCTTTGTGCTTCAAATGTTGGATCAGTGTTATTTTTGACAAATTCTGACTTTTTGATAGTAAACCTGACAGTGAGCCAAGCATCATCACTGTGTTCAAAACAGTTCAAGAACAGGAGTTTGTCATTTTCAGCATATGAACAAAAATGAGTTTTTATGAATCAGTTAAAAGCCATTTTTAAGAGCAACCTTTGGGTCACCATGCCTCTACCTTTTCACAATTAGAAAAGTGGTACCAGATACAAGAAATAGAGTGGAAATATCATCATATAAAATGAAGCTGATATCTCTTGTACTGAAATTTTACATCTTTATTTTTTCCAGCTGGGAGGCATTGTTTTATCTCTGCATAGTACAGTTGATCTTTTTGAAAAACACAAAAAATAACTTTGTAACTGCAATAACGATTGTTTTTACTTCCTCTTAGTTGGAGTTAGCTCTTGAATTTGGGCGAATAGTGATCTACACTACGAGTTTCCGTGTGGTGAGGACAACATTTGAGCGCTGCGAGCTGGTCCGGAAGATCTTCCAGAACCACAGGGTGAAGTTTGTGGAGAAGAACATCGCCCTGGACATCGAGTACGGGAAGGAGTTGGAGGAGCGGTGCAAACGAGTGGGAGAACCTCCCTCGTTACCTGTGGTGTTCATTGACGGACACTACCTCGGGGTCAGCTCTAATTCTTCACTCCTGTCGAATGACATCTGAGGTCAATATCTTGCACATTCACACACTGAGCTCACTGACTATTGAATTATGTTTTTCAGGGTGCTGAGAAAATTCTAGGTATGAATGAATCAGGAGAGCTTCAAGACCTTCTGATGAAAATCGAGGTTTGTTTTCACAGTGTTTGCATTGAAAATAAATAATTAATGGCAGTAAAAACTGATGATTTTCCTGTGATTCAGGTTAAGTCAACCGCTCGATTTGACACGAGGTCTTTAATTGATTGCGTGTTTCACTAGCACATATGTTAAAGCATAAGATAACTTCATAAAGTCATGATGAATTAACGCTTTGTGGTCACTGAAGATGAACACTGGAAACAGGAGCAGTCATTTCCCCTCACCAGTCGTGTCATCAATAAAACACGAGCAAACTGCAATGTAAAAGATGCATGCACATCAATAAGCGGCCATCAATAATGGAGGGCGTGTTATTGATTCTGCCTCCAACACATTTGTCCAAACACACCAATGCTTTGGCTCATCGCTCGGTGGTACAAACCGGGGTTCTGTAAATGATTTCTGTTTCTCACTGGGCTGCAGCCCCGTCTGTCACATGAGCACTGGCCTTTTCTTCAGGCCTTGGTTGTAATTTAGACCCAACAAGAGTCGTCCTAAGTGAATACAAAGCAGTGTTATGACATTTAAGTCATGCATTCCAGTCTCTGCAGGCTATTAAAAAAAAAAGAAACATGCAGCTCTGAAAGGTCATGCATACACTAATCAGTCCAGAACTGGCCTGCAACGTGGCTTTAGTGTGTTTACATCTGCAGAGTTGAAATTTGTGATTAGAGGGTTTTGTTACACATTTTGGGAGATACACTTTATTGTCAATAGTTGGATGAGAAGATTGATCTTTTTAAAATAGCTTTTGTATTAATGTTGACTGATGTGGATTTATTTTAAACAGCAGCAATGGTGCCTTTGCAGCCATCTGCAGACAGTTTGTTGTACTTCTTTTTTTGCCAAGTTGGAGATATCATCACTGTCTGAAATTCCCAATATTGTCGACTCGGAATTACAACCCGGAGGATGACGTGAACTGTTATACTGACTAAGTTGCTCCTAATTATTGTCTAAATGATCAGAAGTAAACACAGCATGTGTCAGACTTTTGCTGGGGGCAGTGACTTTCCGGAGTTTCTGCTGCACCCGGGCCAAGAAATATATTTTTTTTACGGATAAAACAAAGTGTATATGACGTGTTGATGAGTCAGCTTTGGAAGTGTTGGTATGTGGATTTTTCTGACTTTGTATAAAGTCAGACTAAGTGTTTTCCTGTTTCCAGTCTTTATTGTAAGCTAACGTATACGTGAGTGGTATTGATCTCTTCATGTAACTCTAAACAAAAAAAGAGTATTTCCCAAAATATCAGATTATTCTTCAAAGTTTTAAGTCATTTGTGCCAAAATAAGCTCAGCTAATATGTTGTATCTCCAAACATGTGGCTTTAGGAAGACAAAGAAACCAGCCCTGTTTTTCACAGAGAATGTAGACATTTAAGGTGTCAGTATTAAATGTTGGCTATCTTATCTGGAATGTAAATATGTATCTATCCATGTATCTAGAGGGTACAGCAGCCCCAGACGTGCCAGACCTGTGGGGGCTTTGCCTTCATCCCGTGCCCAATGTGCCATGGCAGCAAGATGTCCGTGTTTCGCAACTGCTTCACGGATTCCTTCAAAGCCCTCAAGTGCACTTCCTGCAACGAGAACGGCCTGCAGCCCTGTGTGAGCTGCAGCCACTGAGGATGTTACGTGCCTGAGCCAACATCCTTTACGCAGGACCTTCAGCTGGACTGTAACACAGGCAGTGAAATGAAACACAGCAGGACTCTTCCTCCATGGCCATTGTTAGCAAAGAAAAAATACATTTGTAATAAAAATCTGTGACTTTGTGGATCTGGTGTTGTTGTCTGGTAAATCTCTATAATTCATGACAGGAATGTGTTAATATTTTATGAGCTTATTGCAAAATTCTCATTGATAGGTTTCTGTAAACACGTCTGCCTACTAAGGAGCCATGAACTAGTTTCACCCGAGGTCAACTTAAGCTTGTTATTCATTAAGTGACAATGCTCTCATTACTAATCCCATATCAGAGAGAGTTAAGGATGACGGAGACAAAGGACAGAGAGGGGAAGTAAAAGGGCTCAGTTTGCATGAAACTTGACCTTTGTTCACGATTGAGCACCAAACATCATTGAAACCTCACATAAAACTTTCAAAATGTAAGATTGGTTTTAGGTGTATGAGGTGTAATAAACTGGCAACTGAGTGTTTATAGGACAGAATGAAGAAGACAAATTGAAATACAAATAAATCGAGGGAATCAAACACATTCAAACCTTTTAATAGCACATAATATATTTCCGCTACATAGATCTTAAATGATAAGTTGATTGAAAAAAGAAAAAGGCAACGAATTTTGATAATCGATTAATCGTTGAAGTCATTTTTCCAGCAGAAATCCTCACAGTTTCCGCTTCTCAACTGTGAGGATTTGCTGATTTTCTTTGTCTCTTGTTTGTGATGTAAACTGAATATCTCCAAATGATGGCTGGACAAAAAAAAAAAAAGACATTTGAAGATGTCACATTTGGGGCAATTTGTAATTGTGAGGAATTTGACGATTGTTTTTTTTCTGAGATTTTATAGACCAAGCGATTAATCGATAATGAAAATCATCGTCGGTTGCAGTAGATCACTACACTCCCAAACAATAACCTTTTCAGAAGAAACCCCAGTTTCTGCCTCTCCTTTTAAAAACAATCCGTGTTATCCTGCAGCACATTTAAACTTTTTCTTCATCAAGATGGTTCTCAAACGATTCTGGAAATAGCTTCAGAACAGCAGTAGGTTTTCAAAGATTTTAATAGGAAAATGGAGACGCTTAGCTCAGAGTACAGATGGGTTCATCCAGAAGCAGCATGCGATGTGACTAATTGGTTCAATAATGTATTGGCTGCACAGGGATTGAGGTTTGCATTGAATAATTCAACCCAAAGAGACCTCCATGTGCTCCAGTTTTCTTCAGCCTCACAAAAAAAAAGAGCAATGCATTTCATGTTTTTGACGACATCAGCATGAAAATCAAGACAAATCACTCAAGTCACCAACGATCCTCACACGCAATCCTCGCCGTTCAGTGTTTTCCACACATGATGTCATTTGTTGGCTGCCATCCAAAGGGTCAGAGAAACGCAGCGCCCGAGCAGCTCAGATCTCTATGCTGTCATAGCCCTGTACAATGCTGCTTGAACATGATTAGACAAGGCAGCACTGTAAAGAGGCTAAAAGCGTAGAGCAGTGTGATGGTGATCATCCGCCATGAAGACCTTTGCTGCCATCAAACACTACCTGGCTCGTTCTAGATGCTCCTGCACCTGTGATTGAAACAGCAACAAAATCGATTATTTAGGAGAAAGAAAATAGGAAACAAACGGTGCGTAAAGCTAAAAAAAAAAAAAAAAGGTTGAGGGTTTTCTGCATTGCTAATGGGAGATGATTACATCCCTGCACAAAATCTCATTTCTTTAATTCAATTCCGCACCGAGTAGTAATGTGGTTTGGGTTTTTGTAACCGCAGGCTTGTGGTGATGAAGGGGGAGGTTGCATGAAAATCTGAGACCCCAACTGTGCTGGTTTACTGCGCCCCCTTCTGTGGGCTGCCGGAGACGAGAAATATGAGAGAGGATGCATCGAATATTATCACAAAAACAACCACATCTGCTTTCCATCTGCTCACAAAACAAACCAATGAACAATACTAAAACTGATGTGATGTGCGGAAGGATTGAAGATGTGTGGTGATCTCCAGACGTGACGCGTCTCGAAGCATGTTTTTATATAATGAGCCTAATCAGCCTCAAGATCTGCTTCTTCTTTCTTTTTTTTTTTTAAGTCAACGTGCACAAGCGACCGTTTCTTTCTCTGCGGAGGGGAGACATGAAAGGAAACACGATGGGCAGCGGCTCTGGCACAAGTGATCTTGGGAATGGTATGATGAGACATGACACCGATATGCGCGCAACACCCAAAAATGTGAAGACAACATTCAACGGTCTAAAAACCTGCAATGGCGTTTGTCCGCATTGTCTCCGCTCTCCGGGCTCGGCGAGATATTATTTCAGTCGAGTAGTCTAGCGTGGGTCCAGCCGCGATGCTGTGCGTAATGTTTTGAACGGTCGGTCAATGCGCAGACTGGTTGGAAATGATGTTTTTATTGACGTCAGCGTGCAGGCTAGTCCCCCCCCCCTCCTCCCTCCTCCCTTCTCTCTCATCCACACAACTGCACCATCTAATGGACTTGGGTTTACATCCCAGTCAACCATCTGAGCTTTAAACAGGAAATAAGCCTTCAATCAAAGAAGAAAGGAACAATGTTCCTCTTTAGTGTTCCAGATGCGTTCAGGTCTTCTTTAATGCATCCAAGAGTCATTGTTTTGGGGTAACAATCCACATACAAGACATGTTGAGAAGTGTTGTGCTCCGTAATGAAGCAGTTCCGACAAGAAATCCGACACACAAGACAGAAAACGAAAGCAAAATTATTTAATAAATTATTTCAAATTTATTCCAACTCCTTCAGCAGCGGCGACATTGTTACAACCAAGGGGGGGGAATATTATTACACTATTAACACCTTCAAAAATATATATCCAACCTCCCAAATGTCTCCTCCGCCCCCCCACCCCCCTCACCCACCTTCTGAAGCAGAGTAACATGTTTAACAGGCAGGTGTGCTCCAGCTGAGGCTGACTAAAGTAAATGCAGAATGAAAACCAAAAAGCGCAGTTTGACAATGATTATTCAGCAGAAACAGAGTAGGAGATAATTCACTTGATACACATACTGTAAGGCCGACATCCTGACTGATTAAAAACCTGGTTGAGACGGGAGGGGGGGGGGCTGGCTGGTCCAAACATCACCATGGACCACATATTTACACCCAGGCGCTTGCATCGTCATCTTTGGATCAGTACAATCAGTCACCTGCTGATCAGCTGCCAGACCTCACAAGACAAATTTGGAGACCATCAGAGTTTGAAGTGTGAAGCTGGCAGAGAGAGAGCTGTGACATGAAAGAGAGGGGTGCCACTTTGTATAAAGAGCAACATGTCCAATAAATGGTAAATGAATACATTTGTTAGTTAGACTTTCAACTTGTCTACGTATCGACTTTGAAGGACAACACCCTGTTTCCTAATATCTAGTTTTTGCATAAGCTGATGCTCATTACCGCTTCTGCATTCGTTCACTTTTCCAACTCCAGCATACAATCAAATGAAAAGTCTTAACACCGTTTAATTCGGTTTTTTTAACCCTGTAATAGAAATAAAATCGATTCATCACAGACAGCAGCAGCATCGCGCCATCTTCAGTTCCTCCGTTATAACTTTAAAAGAAAAAAAACATCCACCTTGTCTCGCAGTTAAACCTGGTTTGAATATGTAGCTCTCAGGTCTCCTTCGTACTAACGGAGGAAACACCGTCACTGTGGTTCAAGCATCACATTAAAGTAAAGTACACATCTAGTAAATGATACTGGTCCTGTTTGGAGATTGTGTTTCTGAAGCAGTCTCGTTTTCAACCGAACTCAAACATATTGATGCAGGAATGCGAGTTCAAAACGACCCCGAGACTAAACGGTCACGTACGTTTGTGACCAGAGGTTTGAATTTATCTTACAATTTCAGGCGACTAATGACAGTTCTTAAGTCTTCAGCCAGAAACACTCACACTTGAATGTGAAAGTGGATCTTTGGCAGGTCGAAAATTCTCAGCTAAAGATCATTGATCATCGCCCAAACACTGTCCTCCACTACGGTTGTGGACTATTCTACTGTAAGACTTGATGAGTTGTGCAGAGACGGAGGTTTGTTTTGTGGTGGTCAGGGTGGGAGGCAGATAGCGGAGGCAGGCTTGGCCCTCCTTCCGTCTTTCACTCTTCTTTTCATAGCAGGATGTTCCCTCAGCTCGTCATTATAGTATCTCCAAGTCTACATGACGAACCTCCGGGTTACGTTGCTGCAGAGGAACAAAACACGGTTACATACACATCTGTCTTTGCTGTGCAAATAAATCCCAGTAAACAGATATAACACCACCATCCTGAAACAGTAAAAACTGGTACAACGTTCAAGAACCTTGAGTTCTTTCTCCAAGCGGTCCACCTCGGCCCCCAGAGTGTCGATGATGTTCTCCCCATGTTTCAGCATGAAGCTCTCCAGCTCCTCGGGGGTCTTCACCAGCTGAATCTCCTGCAGACACACAAAAGCACACACTTAACTTAAGTAAGTGCAGATAAAGGTAAGCAATGCAGATGCATTTTTTTTTTTTTTTTAAAGACCACATCAACTTACATTGAGGATTTGGTCAATGTCTTGTTTTTCCAGATAAGACCGTGTCACCACTCGGCCATCAAAGTCAACCTCAGCCTTGAAGCGCACTTTGCTCAATCCCAGATCGGTGGCCTTCACATCGTGGATGGCTCTGCTCAAAATAAAATAATCATACTTTAAACTTGGTCAGAGAACAAAACATCGTTACTTGATACTTCAGTGGATTCCCCGCTTCAACACGGTGTGTTTATAAAGTCATGTGAATGACGTACTAACCGGTTCAAAGACCACAACGTTTATATCTTAAAGTAAAGTGTGTTCATGTTCATGTTGTGACCGAGGCTTTAAACTAGATCACAGTGTACAGCTGGCCCTGAAGACGGTTGCATGTAAGGACTAGTAAATACCAGATGGTCTATTTAAAGCCCGAGTGGTGTCCATCAACATCAGTATGTTATATATTCACAGCCGTGGAGGTGTGTGTGTGTGTGCACCAGAGTGTGTGTGTCTGTTCATTAACTGACCTCACTGCGGGGTCGTTCTCCAGGAACTCGGTAAGCTTCTGCACGCGCTCGGGCTGTATGGAGCGACCCAGCAGAGCCTCTGTGTTGGTGTAGATGAGGAAGGCCGAGACGCTGCCCAGCAACGTGCCCACGCCGAGAGAGCCCAGGCTGTCGAAGTGAGGGTTACCTGGGAGCACACGGGCCGAGGGACAAAGGAAAAGAATCTGGATCATTGCCCACATTGACTTAAGATAATAGAATAGAATAAAACTGAATGACTCCAATAATCCAACAATGTCTCCAGGCCTCCGTGTTTACCTGTGAGTGAGGTGAGCCCCATGCAGCTGGCAGCCATGATGACTCCTAACACAGCAGCAGTATCCTCCAGCAGCACGACATTAGTACTGGGGTCTCGACTCTGCATTACTGCACACAAAAAACAACACAAAACCACATTTACACTGGAACCTTCAAGCAGCATGACACCAATTTGGGATTTATCTACATGACATTTACATTTGTTATCAGATATGCTCTTTGGTAGCATGATGGCTGATTTGACTTCCTTCACAATATGCAAATTAACTCGGCCTGAATGACACCGTCTGTGTGCAATGACAGAAAACACCTGGTTTAATTTAACTACGGAGGTACAGATGGATCCATATTAAACTGATCCTGATTGTCTAAACAGTAATGTTATTACGTTTGGTTATTCTGTGCTAAAGAAATCTATTGCATGTCTGTTCATCCAAGGAGAGTTTCTTCCATTTTTTTTCTTAAGGATTTATGGAGATAAGCGTTAAGTAAACTGCTATCTGAGCGCTACAGATTCATTGTAATGCCAGGTGCATCATCAATTAATAACATACATATTTCAATTGTACATACCATATTCATAAAAAGACACTCCATGTAGCTGGGCGCTCCTCTTTATCTCATTGACAGCTACTAGTAACGTTGCTGAGAAACACAAATACAAAGAGATGCTTCAGTACAAAACGCTACGTAAAGTCAAAATGTCCTCAAAGATCTGGAGCTTCATGTTTATAAACTACCTCCTTCAGACACCAGAGAGCCCGCCAGAATACAGTAGGCCTGAAACAAAAACGTGACGTGTTGGATCATCATCATCCTTCATATATATCTGATACCACACAGACGAGTCAAAACAGACACTCACCCAAAGCAAAGACTCAATGGGCGCTGGGTGCAGCAATCCCATAATGCCATGGTACCAGGAGAGGCCTGCTCCCATCATAAAGATACCCACTCCACTGATGAGGGAGGCGATGTAGCGCATGTTGGTGAAGCCGTACCTGGACAAGACAAACGGTCTCTGTTACAGCTGACGGTCATTTTAATAAAACCAACGACTAGTTTTCACCCTTCAACAACATTTAAGCCAACCGTTGTTTTGTTGGTGTTATAGTGTGATGCTGGTGCTTACGGGTGGCCGGCATCCGGGTTGCGGACAGACTGGCTGATTCCCAGAGCGAGCAGAGCCTGGTTGCAGGTGTCGGCCAGAGAGTGGATGGCCTCTGAGAACATGCTAGCTGATCCAGTGTAGACCCAAGCCAGGAGCTTGAAGAAGAAATTCAGCCCATTGCTGAGGAACCAGAAAAACGAGTGGATCAAGCACTCAAACGGCAATAAAAAGGTTAATAATAATAATAATAATAATAATAATAATAACTTTAATTTTAAAGCACCTTTAAAAAGCAGAGTTTACAAAGTGCTTTGACGGACAAATAAACAAAAATAAAGCCGAAAAAAAGCAAGACAAACCAAGGTCAAATTCAGACACTCATAAAACAGCACAATAGATGAAATAATAAAACCAATCGATACAACAACAAACTAAATAAATAAATAACTCAACTTTTTTCTGTTTATTGCAAAGTATTTGAGCTTTTCTGTGTTGATGCTCCTGAATCACTGCATTATTACTTCAGCTGGACCTCTCCTCTACTTGGGACATCACTTTTGAATCCAAACTAAGTGAAGTAAAGACTTCATGTGACTGCACATGTTCTCTAACACAATCACTCTAATCTAATAGGCTACAGGACATGTGAGGTCCCACGCAGCTCCCAATTCAGATTTTCACATCTTTACTAATAAAAACTAGACGGTGCAGGGGATGTTTTAGTTAATTAAAATCGGTCCTCACCACGGCATCTCCATCAAGTGAAGAACGACATTACAACAAAACCAATCAGCAGTCAGGAACAAGGGCGAGAGAATCTAAACTTACATGCAAATAGCGACCATGACCACCTTCCCCGGCCCTTGTGAGAAAGTCGCCCTCTGGACTGATCGAGGCTTCGTGGAACAAAGAAAAAGCAAAGTGAAGTTCCATAACCGACCGTTGATTTATCAAACACACATGATTGGGAATTTACAGCTCTGTTGCTTACACGACAAAATGCTACAGTTGATGTTATCTCATGAACAATACTCAAAAACAAACCAGAGTACAGAATATACCGTGACATACCAGAGAGGTGTAACACAGTATAGTATTAAAATAACATCACTGTACACTAAAGAGGACTCCATGACACACAAATACAGCTTTTATGTCCACGTTCTCTTTCACATTTAAAACATGACGTGGTCGTATTGATCGTATAATCAAACAAAAGGACAGGCAAAAATAAAAGTGCTCACCTTCGTGTTTCCCCAAAAGTCTTTGTATTCCTTCAACAACTGTTGATTTCGAAAAACATCTGGAGGTCAACAAACAAGAGATGCAAATAAAACAGTGTGTCAAACAGACCAAAGAATTCATAACAGCTGAGAAACAAATCAGGTAAGTTGTACAAATATTCACCACGTTTCTAGTTGGGCTCAGTTTTCACATTGAAGGAAACAAACTGATTCGAGAGTTGGATGAGAAGATTAACACTCTTAGCTATAGATATATTGATATAGTTAGCCTATATCCTCCCAGCACCTCGATAGCTCTGTCACATGACTTTATATTGTGTTTGTTTAATCTGTACAAAAGTCAAAGTAGAAGACTATCCTCGGTGTTACAGGAGGTTATGTGTGGGACTACTTTTTGGCTGCGAGCTGTGACTTCACTCAGCAGCTATGTGGCAGCTAATCAGAGCCAAGAAATAGTCCGGCACAAAAGAAAATATAATTTATTTTACATTTGTGTTCTGAACTCAGGCGAGCTGTTTCCAGACTTTCTGCTAAGTTAAGCAAACCTGCTGTTGTATAATATGAACGTGGTTTTAATCTTCTCATCAAACTCTGTGGCAGAAAGCGAAAAGACAAGATATTCCGTATTATTGCATGTTGTTCACACAGATTCACAACCAGCCAGAGAATAATAAAAACCTACTCTCTATGTACTCTCGCTCCACTTCTTTCCTGAGATTTCTCTCTCGGGCTAGAGCCTCTTGGCTTCCCCATACCTCCAGTGCTCTAATTGTCACAGAGATAAATAAACAGTCAATAAACGTTGAAGAATATATCAATACAAAATTGGTGATTTACGCAATCATTTGTTTAAAGGATGTATGACTAACTTGGCTTCCACGTCTGACCGCAGGAAGACGGTGAACGCCTCTGTGTCGTCGTGAGGGCTGCGTCTCCTGATCTTTCGAAGCTGTTCCAGATCACTGTGAACGTAGAATGACAAGGTAAGAAAAAGATTTAGGAAGACCCGAGTTAAACAGCATTAGGCAATCTTATACCAGCTGATTACAACGGCATGTTCACTTATTAACTAGAAGGAAATTGAGCTAGCACTGAACGTGGTTACAGTGAACAGAGGAGCATTCAGTATGGGGACATATAGTTTAGTGAAGCTTATATCAAATGAAACAGTGAGTTTGGGGATCAGGAGGTACCTTGGTTTGAGGCAGAACTCATTCATGGCTCTGACTGCCGTGATGAAGTTGTTCTTAGTGTACTTGGCTCCATATTCCCTTTTCTTCAGCACGGCCCGAACTGCATATTACAACAGAGGGAAACTATGAAATACAGTTTTTCATCCGCATTCATTAGTCCTCATTATAGTGCAAGTGAATCAAAAGTGAGGCACAGAGTCTGTTTCAGGTGAAGCATGCACAAATGTTGATCAGTACCTTTCACTTGAATTGTCTCAGTCTTCGTCAGCCCCTGAGAAGTTGGACCTGTGAGAGCAAAGATTTAAATGGACTATTTATGAAATATTTCCCGGTGCTTAGGGTGTGAGGGCGTGCAATAACGACCCCTTTAGCAGTTTTAACAGGGGAAAATTGTAAAAAACAAAATGAATGTACACAAGACAATGGCACACCAAACTCCAAGATCAGATGACAACTTCTGCAGTATTTTGACATTTTAAAGTCACCTATTGAAGCTGGGGTGGCTTTTACAGCAGCAGACAGGACGTTTTCTGCTGATGGAGCACCACCGGATGCTGATTTTGGGGGTCCATCGTCACTGCTGCCAGAGGTAGAGTAGTACTGCACCTTTCCCAGCCCTAGAGAAGCAACCCGGCAGTCTGGAAGGCTGAACCACAGGTTGTGTATGCCTCCACTCTGCCAACCTGTGCAACAGAATGTAGAACAGGGTTTGAGAGAGCAGAGTAGAAGAAGCCTAAATGTGTAACACGTCCCGGTACATCACGTCGATATCAAGAGTCCTCACCGTAGCACAGCTGGTTGAACCTCGGGGACAGCTGAGAGAGAGGCGCCCGGTGCTGCAGGGAGACCCTGCAGAAGACGTGCCACGGTCTGTGGGCGAGGCTGGGGAACATGCTCGGTACCGGAGTGAAGGATCTTTGCGACACAAATGGCACACCGGTTATGTTAGCTTGTCAACTTAACCTACTTCAGACAGATTAACGCCAAGACATCGCCTCTCAACCTACGTACCGGCTAACACCACTACGGAGCCACTCAGTTGGCTAACTTAGCTAGGGTTAGCTAGCTACATAACATCGTCAGCGGCCGCGTAAAGTAACACGTTCTGTGTGACATGTTTACACGAAGCAACTGAATGTCGCGTACATTTGAGATAAAGTCAATAAAAAAAAGCCAATACCTTTCTATTGTGAGGTTTGTGCTGCATAATCTGTGTCCATTTTGAGAATCTATGGTCAAACTGACTGGACGTGAACTGTGACACACGAGTGACGTCGGCGCTCTTCTCGCGAGAGTTTAGTCGGGTCTGTCACGTCGACTAGTATCGCGATATTTTGTAAACCAAACAAGGTCATTTATTTTATTTCACTTTTTTGACAGTCATCAAACTAAATCATATTCTGTTCAGAATAAAAGTTAAAAGTTAATTGGATTTTAAATATTTTTAAAATACATTCTTTAAAAAGAATAGATTACATGAGTCCTGCACTATACATCTCATTGTAGTAAAAGTATGCAAATGTCAGCAAAATCCACAATAAGTACCACAAGTAAAAATACTAATCGTTATGCAGCAGAATGGACCCTGTAAGGGGAAATCTTGTATCTATCACATATTGATTTATTAACATCCAAACACAATTTTAGTCTTGTGTAAATGGTTGACATGGACTACATTTAAATTACTTTATATCGTGTTTGGAAGTTTAATCTTAGTTATATGTACATCATATGTTTGTATGTAAAAAGCCCTCTCAACTGTTAAGCATCTAATTACTTTGGCTGTCAAAGAAATGTAGTAAAAAAAAAATAGTATCTTTTGAACCGTTTGCGAGTACAATATATAGTCAGATAATGGAAATAGATCCACCACACTATTGCATCTGGACAGTATGTGTGTACAGTTTGTGTCACTACACATAACATCTGGGAAATTCATAGCAGGGTAATTATTCTGCATTTTTGTTTGTTCTTGAATGCAACATTGTTATCACACATTTAGAGAGACAGAGAGAGTCTCTCTTTGGTATGAGAAGGAATGCAGCTCCCTCTCTCTCAAACAGCACTGCATTCATTCATTGCTGTTCCCACACCAACTGTAAACACAGACAGGCAGGGGCACTAGTGGGGAAGAATGATGAAACTCAGCAACAAAACAAAAAATCACAACAGTTAAGAAAACAAACCCTGTGTGTTTAGTGAATCTTCAGAACAGTACAGTAGATATGTTACGGCCTTGCATTAGCAGTAAATATGTCCGTAGCAGTGTTTGTAATATTCATCTGACAAGTGACGAACAAATCAAACACATACACTAGGAGAGCTCTTTTTGATTACCAAATGCAATCACTTGACAACAATAGCTGCAGATCCATCACTTCCATTTCACAAGCATTCAAATGGAATTCACAATATTCAATCAATAATCAAGAGCCACAGTACAGTTTAAGAAGGCCATAACTCGGTCTTGGTCCATTTCGGAAGAAGTTAGAAAAGATGAAAAACTGTGCACGAATAATGTCACTTAAATGAGAGAAAATGTAACTATGTCAATTTAGAAAGTGGTCAAGTTGACGCAAGAGTGGTTCAGAGGAGCGACTCTGCCCCGGTATGCTTGTCTGGGTTGCTGGTCTAGAGGGATTAACGCATTGTGACAAACTCCTCAGACGAGGTGGGGTGAATGGCGACAGTCTTGTCGAAGTCGGCTTTGGTAGCACCCATTTTGATGGCCACAGCGAAGCCCTGCAGCATCTCATCACAGCCTAGACCCTGCATGTGCAGGCCCACCACCTGAGGAAAAGAGACACGTCAGCCTTTCAAGATCACTGCAGTCGTTGGTGTTCACAAGGGACAAACATAAAGGACTCAGTCACACACACATAAAGGTTATGCATTGGAATTAAGTTTTAAGAATTTTCCTAAACCTGCTTGATCGACGTCTACTTAAGAAATCAGACTTCTTACAATTACCAAAATGACTTTGAAGAATCTGCAGAGATTGGGTGTGAACATGTTGACGTCAGCTGTGGCTTAACCAGCATGTGAAGGTGGAGAAAACCATTGTGATTTCAACATAGGATAGGATAGGCAAGAGACACACCCCATATTTAAAATCTTAAAATCTCCGAAACAGGATTGGTGCAGAGAGACCGAAGCCTCTACATTTGACACCTGCTGGTGAAGTCTTACTTTAAACTCGGTCTGGCTGCTTAGGGGGAAAAAAAATATTTATGTTTTCATGCAGTTTTCAGATTTTCATAATCTGACAGACTATGAGATAAGTCTGAATGACTTGTACCTGAGCAAACAAGGACAAAGAGTTGGTGTTGTTTTGATTAATAACAATTCTAACAGTTACAATAACTTGAATGACTTAAATAAATAACTCCTTATCTCTAAAAGTATATTTTTTCACCACCTGTAAATGACAGAGGACTCCTACCTTCTCCTCCTTCCCCTCACACACCAGCTTCATGATGCACTGACTCTTCCTGCTCGTGATGGCGTGATACATCGGAGTGAAAGAAGTCTTGTAGATCTTCACATTCTCCTTTCCTCTAGATTTAATGGCCTCCTCTGGGACAGTAACACAAACGAAGCGGTTTGAATTCTTGTCCTCATGAGTACGACAAAGGATGAAAAACACTGGACATACAGGCATCGTCAATCATGTGAAGGTTGAAGTTTGATTGTGAAACTGCCGCTCACCTTCTGTGAGGCCCACGGTTCCGATGGGTGGGTGGCTGAACACCACGGTGGGGATACTCGAGTAGTCCAGCTTGGAGTCCTTCTTGCCCTCAAACAGTCTGTGGGCCAGCTTTCTGCCTGCAGCGATGGCAACTGCCCCGATATACAACATAACATCAGTACATTGCATAACAAAATATTTAATTCCCAAACCAGAAAAACAAGTACGGAGCAGCACTGCACCCACTTCAACAGTGCATGGAGCAGGGAAAAGTAAACAGTAACTAGATACGATCATGTATAATGGATGTCTGTCTCTACATGAGGGCAGGAAAATTACACATTTCTGTCAATGACTCAGCAGTTCCTTCTGCTAAGTGATGCCTTGTATGAAACTGTAAAGGTTTAGTTTTTAGGGGACAAATCATGGTCTGGATTTCTTTTTGAAAGTTCAACCAAACCACCACGTCAGTTGGACCTGAGCTGCAGCTGAAAAGCTTTTTTTTCTAATAACGTGTCACACCCAAAGCTTGTAAACAGGGCAGACGTGGACTCCAAAGTGACTCATTTAATGGACAGAGTTGACGGACAAAAACATGTAAAGATATTCAACATGGATACCAAACACTACTGAAGCCTTTAGTCTATCAGCCTTCAGACGACCATACTGGCCAAGCAAGAACGTAAACACGACTGTGTAGTTTTCAACTTCCGCAAAATGATTCAAATTGTTATTGCAACTTCCTACCAGGTGTGAGAAGAGCTTTGCCACAAACGTCCCCGACAGCGTAGATCCCTGGTATGCTGGTGTTCTGAAACTCATCCACCACGATGTGGCCTCTTTCATCCATATCCATACCCTGCAAACAGAGAGAATATTGTTATATGATTAGTATAAATGAGCTAAAACATCACATTTTAGCACTGAATTTTTACTGACTGACTGTAGTTTAATCCGTTATTAATCCTGAGCTAACAAGACTTTCACTCTTCCCATCTAACAAACAACAGAAAAAAGACTGCTCAGTGACTGTTGTCTCGTCTTGCTCCCGGATTATCCCTAATCGTTGATTTAAAGGGATCCAATGCCTGGTTTATTTGGGGCTCCTATTATATAAAAAGGTGTGACATTAAGAGACTAAACAATGATCTGCAGTGCTGCTATAATCTAAGAGGGCAGTTAAGCTGCTAAAATGAGGGTGACACAAGGAAAACTGAGCCAAAAACTGATTAGTCATCTGTTTTAAATGCACCATTACCATTTTATTGATGGGTGTTGAATGTGTTTTGCATCGTTTCCAGCTGCAAAAAATAAATTGCCTCAATAAGGAGGGTAAAGATGTTTTGTCTGTCCAGGAACATCTGCCGATTTCCCCACTGAGCTAAGATGTTGTTTCCTTCGGCACATTTCAGCATCTAGTTTACATTAACATCACAAGCAGACGCTTACCATGGCGCCGATATTCAGTCCTGAAGTTTTGGGCTGCCTGCCGATGGCCCAGAGAAGGCAGTCCACCTCCTGGATGGTGCTGATCTTCTCCTCGTCGTTCTTCTTCTCTGGGTCTTTGGTGACGAGCGTCACCTCCAGTCCTTTTTCCTTCTTACACACAGACTTCACCTGAGAGTTCTTCCACAGATCCACACCAGAGTTGGTCAGCTCTTTGGTGCAGTTTGTGCTTATGAAGCTGTCAAAGTTCCTCAAAACCTACAGAGAGAGTTTGAGAGCATATGGAGTTACGATTATTTGCATTACTGCACACTTTTGAAAGTCATAATTTTAGTATTTAGATGTGATTCTGTGGGTTTCTTACTCCCGTCTGTCGAATAATGAGGGATGTTTTGGACCCCAGGGTGGAAAGGATGCCGGCCATCTCCACTGCAATATATCCCGCACCCACAATCACAGTGCGCCTGTTAGGGAAAACCAAACCTTTTATTATAGGAACAAACTTTACACATGGTATAAACACTTAAGAGATCATAAGAGAAGCTTACTTTGGCAGAGCTTCAAGTTCAAAAAAGCCATCACTGGTAATGCCCAGACTTCCCCCTGAAATGATCAATAAACACAATACTTGTTTATATTTTTAACATTTTATAAAAGTCATCTTTTTGCTGGATACATTAAATCAGGGGTAGGCAACCTTACATACGCCATAGTCACATGGTAACTTAACCAATGGCACACTAGCAATAAGTGTGCAGGAAAGTTCTTTTAAATGTTGACGTGCCCTATTGGCAGTTACGTGGACGGTTATTTACAGTAGTTTTGAATTGATTTTTTTCTCCAACCGCATTGCACAAAGACCTGCCATACTCTGCCTCTGATTGGCTGGTACTTGTCACCTTCTTCACAATATTTGTAAAGTTTATTGCTGATGAATAAGTTTGGTGGAAGGTTGGTAGGATTAATGATTTTAACTCAGATGTGGATGTTTTCGTAAGGATGGAAGCCTTCTACTCCGCTAATTATGGAAGTAAAATGTTTTTGGTATCATGTTGATATGCATGTTGCCTATATGAATGAAATCAAATGTGTGACCTGAACTTAAACTACTTAAACTTAATGTTGAAACACTAAATAACAAGAAAATCTCAAAATGACTCTTCGTATCAAGAAAGGTTGCCGATCCCTGGATTAAATACAACAAACTCTTCCAGGTAAAACCTGAGCACATCACGTCTTACCTGGAATGTCAGCATCACTCAGAACAGTAGGCTGTCCTCCGGTGGCAATGAGGATGTGAGGCGCTGTATATTTTCTTCCATTGACCTCCACAGTCGGCTCAGGATCATCTGTAAACCGGGCATGGCCTTGGATAGTTTGGACTTTGGCCTGAAATGGATCAGATGTCATTATTTCTTCTGCAATAACTTTCTTCTTTAGAGGAAAGTAAACAAACAGAACAAGTCAAATAATTGTTGATCCAGTGCAAACATGTTTGTCGGTATGTTAACCTGAAGTAAACATTGCTGTGTATATATATATATATATATGTGTATGTATATATATATATGGGGATTACAACTGACACACTGAAATAACAAAGATGATATAAATGGGAACTTACTTTGTCAAGGTTGTTGCGATAAATGCGATTTAAGTGACTAACATAAGCGTCCCTTTTGGCCTTCAGAGCTCTGCAAACACAGGAAATGATCAAATATAAGAGGTAGTTTGTTTGTTTAACCAACATTCATTCAAGAAACACTCGCCTTCACATGATAAACGCAACTCAAACACTTCTTAAAAATCATAAATAAAAAATAAATACAGCATACACTTAAACAAATGTTTAGAAAGACAGCCTTTCACAAGCCCTGCACATGATTGAATACACTCCAAAATACACGTTCATCCCATCAGATTTATTAAGTGAGCAGTGTTTAACCAGGACACAGACACAGAAGGTTCACTTAAGTTATGAGGAAGCTGCAACGCTCAGGGGAGAAAAAACAAAAACTACGTTCTGGGATATTCATACGTGAGAAATGTACAAATGTAATGCCAGATTGCAAAAACAAACAAACATGCGCAGGTACAAACACTGGCATTAAACTATTCTAGATCACTGGAGTAAAAATAAATTCAGTGGGGAGGTCAGATGAAAGTTCGACATTAAAACTTCCCAACAATCTCTATTGTAGTCTAAAAAAGTCCTGAGTATGACTCATTCATCTACTACAACCTACTCCCTACACATACTGTGTTGCTCTTCATACTACTACTAGTATTGCTACTTTACTACCACTAGATCGTTCTGCCAGAAACCTCCAGAAATAACAGGAACAACACAAGACAAACTACAGCCTACTATGAGTTAAAACATTCTGACACAGTTTCAAAAAAGGTAAAACATTAAAGAAGATGTGCTGTGTGCAAAGATTCCATTAGATTGAACGTGTTTCCTGTATTTTAATACGCACTTCTTTCAATAACGTCTTGATAGTTGGACCCACTTTAAGACAAACCCATGCAGGCGAACCTTCACCGGCCTCCCAGCTCTGATGCACGCTAGTGTTTTTTCCCCCTGACTAATGTTTCCTGCAGCCACACCTTCCAGAAACGTATCTTTGACTGTCACACTGACTTGACTTTGTGGTTCACAAAGAACACAGAAAGGGGCTGAAGTGAAGCAACAAAAGACAGCGACAGACGGGGAAGTCCTGCTGTGAAACGGACACCCCTTCGTTCGAGGAACAATCATTGCGGATTTCAAAAGAGCTCATTGTAGTTGCACAAAACGAGGTGAAATAAAACGGGACGCTGTAACTTACTCCCAACTGAAACGAACATTTCCAACGTCAAAGCCGTAGTCGCTGTGATCGTGGAGATACTCGGCATGAACTGCTGCATTCCACATAACCTGTGAAGGCACTGGGTTAGACATCTAGTGGTTTTTTGTTTGAAAATGATTATGTCTTCGAGTTAAAACTCGGCCTGTTGCAACAACAATAGAAAGAACAGTGTACCTTCTTTGGGACACAGCCAACATTCACCTAAAACACAAACAAAAGCATTCAAATTAGTTCAACGTCAGCTCGATGAAACCACCTGCAAACATGATACTTACAGAAAATGCTTAATATATTTATTCAATCAATCACACAGCGCCACTGGAAATCAATGAACGATAACAAATTAATATGAACTTCATATAAAGGTTCTTTGTCAGGCAAAAAACAACATATTCTACAGTTAAAAAGGTTCCTAACTTTCATTTGGCTGGATTTAACCATCCTACAATCCCTTGTTATTTGGTTTGTGTGGACTGAATTATGTTATATGAGATTATTTCCTAATTTGTTACCAACATTTGGAAACTAATTAGACTAACTGTGTCACCTTTGTACAATCATAATGTGGTTTTAGCGGTTTAGGAAACACCTGCAGCTATGTATTTCATCATCAACTTCTCATCAAATAAAAAGTCAAAGTAGTGGGTGAACACAATAATGTGAACACCTGTGTGTAATGCCTTCCTTTACAATAGCCTTGTAATAATATAAAACTAACGTTGTATGACGCCCTTGAGTATAAACACCTGACTCAAAGCTTACAGCTTCAATATTTCGTGGCTACGTTTGTTGGAAACACAAAACACTTCCACAAAAGGAGTCCGGAGGCTTCGCAGTGAACCTGGCAACCAGCGCGTGTGTGTGAAAGCTGCAGAGCCGACACAGCACAGCAACTCAGGACGGATAGCAGTGTTTTTAGTTGTTGTTGTTGTTTTACTCACGCAGGTACCTCCGAGTTTGTCACTCTCGATCACGGCGCTGGCTGCTCCGAGTTCCGACGCCCTCCGAGCACCGGCCAGACCTCCGGACCCGCCACCGATCACCAGAAAGTCGAACCGGGTCGTTTCTTCTGAGGCCATGCTGCGGCGGATAAGAGCTCCGTGTCTGCGAGAGGACGAGGAGAAAAGTTGCTTTCTGAGGCTGAACCAGGAGGCAGCTCGCGTCCGGGTTAATGTCGCCATAACCAGGAAGCTCACAAGGGTGTGTGTGTGTGTGTGTGGGTGTGTGGGTCAAGTGAAAGCCACTGACTGCTGTGTCATTATGAATCGCAACAATGGTGTGTAAATCCCAGAAACTGTTTCCACAATAGTCATGGTGATCCTCACATAAACTACAGTACATCGGGCTACAATAACAGAGCTAATTCTGCAACACCAATACGGAAATATACATTGAAAACGATATACAACTGCAGTCAAGTTTTTAACTGTTCAGTTAATGTGTGTCGCAGAGACTCACCTCGGTAACGCCAGTGACACAGTAGGAAACAGCCTGTTGATTCGCATAAACAGCATCATTTATTCGTTTATGGTCGTTTTAATTATATACATCCGCCGCGTGCCGTAGTTTATCTCTGTCAGCTGGTAGTTTGACTTCATTATATCCTAAAATACAAAAGCTTTGAACACTTCCTGTGTCACTGGGTGAACTGACCTCTGAAAAAACACGTAGAAATGTTGCCTTTTAGCGGTTTTTATAAAAGTAAAACTACACAGATGAGATGTTGGAGGTCATATTTTAGGGTGTGAATAACGGCGACGTCTCGAGCGTTAGCATACGTTATTTTTGTAGCAGAATATTTAAAAACAAGCGTAAATAATCCCAGAGGATAAAGGAGATTTGCGTAGTATTTCTTCCAGAATAGCGCAGACCTACACTGCACTCAACACGCCAGCTGTAAAGAAAAAGAAAAACGTAAACTTCCGGCCATGTCTTTCAAAATAAAACTTCACCCTCGTCACAGAATCCGGTTTATTACCAAGTAGGTTTTCACATAAAAGGAATTTGCTTAAGTGTGTTGGTGAATAAGATAAACTACAATATATCCGAATTTTAAATAAAAGAGCTGTGCAGAAGTGGTAGTTTTATGCAGAACTGTGTAAAATTGTCCAAACAATGTGTACGAAGCATAACAATGTAATGTACAGAGATGTAGTCCCAAAGATGTGCGTTTGGCAACACAGACAGAATGTGTATATACTGTATATATGATCATAACCCTATACAACAATGCAACAACAGTGTCAATGGAATTACAGTGTAGTCTCCATGAGGACGAGCCAAGAGTGGTGCGTCTGTATAGCTTATAAAGGTCCTCAGGACAGGGTGTGAACCAGGAGTTTCATCCGTTTCTTTTCCTAACCGTAACATTCTCTGGTTAACTGCACCCCCATTCAATTACTTCCTCTCATGGAAGCAAAGGCAGAAACATGGTCTTGTTACCATTCAGCAACATAATCATATGTCACATAGTTTTGTTATTGAGTAAGGCACATAAACTAAGTCACAGTAGAAAAGTACTAGCACAGGGAAAATTCTCCATCACAATGTACAACTTGAGGAAACATATTTACATTTGCAAGTGCGCTCTTTTACTTATTTGCTGCTACTAGCCCATTGGAACTATACTGTATATGTGTATGGTTTTAACGGTGTGCTGTGTAGTGAATGTTCTTTACTTGGCAAAAGTCAAAGACAAATTTCCACTGAGGTGTAGATACATACATACACACATACATACATAATTACATAAGAAAGAGAGATGAGATATAAGAGATTTATTGTCATCCATAATATATGCAGCGCAAACCAGTACGTAGAGTGTCCCTGGTCCCAATGCAAACAAAAGAATGATGCATTGACATAAACAAACAATTAACAAGGTACAAAAACGGACACAGAACAAGATACAAGACAGGGTAGAACCACATGTAATAACAAACATATGTGATATGTGATAATATATCACTATAAATGCATGCAATGTAAATAAAAAGCAGGTAAAGTAAATAAATGTAACAAATGTAAATGTAAAATGCAATAAACATTATTAAAATCAGTTTTATTTTCCCTGAGGATATAATTTTCAACCACTGCATAACAGCATGCACCAAATATTGTTTTGTAACATGTAATATGCCCAAACAAACTCAAATACAACACAGAGGGAGTATTATCGAAAAAATCCCGTTTGTATTACACACTCTTATTTTGAAGGCGAGAACAACCTTTTTCCGGAATTGTGTCAGCTAGCTACAGATAGCTAACGGAGAGCTAATGCAAAGCGGCTCGGTTGCTCTCGTTGACAACAAGCGTTAATATCACGTCCACAGAAAGGATTTACTGAATTTAAAACACCCAACAGATCAAAACACAACACTCCTATAAAGGTACGTACGTGGGCGTTGACTCTGCTGCGAACATAAACAGTTGAAAAGCGGACCGTCGTCTTTGCGATCCCCCCCTTGTTGTGGTCAGATGGGGCCTTTTCGTTGTGTTCAAAGGAACACAGCACCGGACTGCAGCGGGGGTGAAAAAATTGCAAAAACATTTTGTAGTGAACCGCTTTGTATCTTTTGCTTGCAATCCGTTACTTGAGGATCAGACGGCTGCAGGCGTTAACGAAAACGCTTGACATGAGGGGGGAGGGGCTATCTGTTTACGGGCCTTGTGTTAATGTCACTGTGAGGTTCTTTCTCTCATTTATCTTTCTGATTCCCACAGTGGGGAACACGTCTTGCTTGTCAGAGGGTGCTGCTCCTCTGACTCCGCCGTATGACCGCAGGACCCGCAGCCAGATGACCGGCGGACCTCACAGTCTCAACATGAATCCTGTCAGCTACCATAGCATGTTGTCGTCTGTGAACGGTGGACACCCTAATTTGGTCTTGGATCGTGTGTTGAGCACCTCCAACGTGAAGTGCTGTCAGAAGTGTGGATTTGCTTCCACGGACGCTGCAGAGTTGAAGAGGCACATGCTGGAGCACAGAGGGACGAGGTTCTACTGCTTCTACTGCAACAAGGTGTCGTTCAGCGAGGCGGAGTTAAACGCTCACCTGAAGCAGCACAGTTCAAAGTACCCATTTAAATGTCCTCACTGTGGACAGGGCTACATGCGGAGGCTGTGCCTTGTGAAGCACATTGATCGTTTGCATAGTAAAAGCATCAGTCAAGGACCTGCTAAGCCCGGCACACACGCTCCTGTCTCCAGTGCCTTATCAAGTGTGCCCACCGCTGATCCGGCATCACTCCGACCGGCCGTCCGGGTGACGGTACCCATCGCGAGTGCACCTGCAGTCAGGCAGGGTAGAGATGAACTGAGAGGGAAAACACTGGACACGAACGTATCGAATGCCACGAATGGCAGCGCCGTTCTTTTGACCCCTTTGAATGGACTCATTCAGCACCACAGGGCTCTGACGGTTTCTCTTCCAGAGGAAGTGACGATCCCCGCCGGCTGCTTGGTCGAGCTTGTTGAGGTGAAAACCGTCAACGGGACGAAGGAGCTGAAGCTGAGGCTCGTCTCTCAACAAGAAAACGAGTCTGTGATAAAAGAGACGAGGACCACGGTCTCTCAAAACACTGCGCTGGGAAAGCCATTCTTATCCTCATTACACCACCCGAACGCCGTGAAGTCCATGAGCATGGGGATGTGCACGGTCAACAGGAAGCAGTGTGAAGCAAAGACTGTCAATGTGGAGCGCCCCGCCATTTCTAGAAACCTCCCAAATCACGTCAACAAAGAAAAAGCTGGATTTAAAAGAGCGTCACAAGAAATAATCAACTTGGAAAGTCACACAGTCGTTCCAAACAAGGTTCCCAAAAGCATCCTCAATCCTGTAAGAGAAGGAAATGGTGGGATCAGAGTGACGCAGAGCGAACTGGTGAGCCACAGTGCAGCTCTGTCCTCCGTTATCTGCAACAGGCTCGGCCAAAGGTTGACCGGCGCCCTGCATCCAGAGAACATGGGAGCGTGTGTTCCTCAGAGAGCCGTGGACGAGAGAAAGCATTTAATGCCTGAGCATTCCAAGAGTATCCCACCCAGGAGGGCAAGTGACATAACAATCCCTCCGCGAGATGTTTCGGTGGCTGTAAAGCTGGAACCAGGCGAGATATGCCTCAAGAACAACTCCTCTTCAAAAATAAAGACAGAGGCAGAGTGCTCGAACCAGCAGAATTCCTCTTCTCCCTGCTTGAGTGTCCTCTTGGCTGCGTCTGCCCAAGTGAGACCTCCAGCGATTCTACTTTGTAAGGATAAAGTTTCAAGTCCGTCTTTTTCAATCCCCAGAAGCCTAAATGAGTCCTCATCAGTCAGAACGCCGGCACTCTCCAACCGCAAAGGTCCGAAGATATCGGCCTGGAAGCAGGAAGTGAGATCCGGCGAGAGGGCCGGAGAACGAGACGCGCTAGAGCCCGAGGGTTTCCCCGTCATCTCCTCTGTGTTTTCACTAAGCCAACAACCAGGCGATGTCCAAGGCTCCATGCAACCGCTGGTGATGGCGCTGCGGGGCATCGTGATGGATAAAAGTAACCGTACTGGTTGCACAACTCAAGATCACGTCATGGTGACAAACATCACAGAGCGGGCGACGGAGGCGCTGACGTCCTGTGTTCAGGTGGACACTAAAGACGGGTCCATCATCCACAAGCTTTTATTGACGGAGCGGACCAGCGACACTATCAAAATAGAGGATAAATGTGTTCAGCACCCTTCTGCACTGACCCACAACTACATCAACGAGGAAACAAAACGCACCGCGACAATAGACAGTAAGAAACGCAGTCACACCCCTGTTTCAAAATCTCCTACAGATGAGGAATCTGTTTCCAAAATCGCCGCACATGTGTCTGCGGAGCCCCCGCAGCAAATGGCAAAAAATGAGCACGACATCTCAAAGTTCCTGACTGTCTCGCTGAAACGTGTACAAGTAGGCCTGTGGAAAACAAACAAGAAGGGGCTGAAGCTCACAATATCCAAATACAAGACTCAGGTACCGATGGGCGGTCTAGCCGGCTGCACCGTCATTTACCCGATGCCGCTGAAGGTGGACCAGCTGGTGAAGCGGCCGAGCCCCTACCAGCCCGTGGTGGTGCTCAATCATCCGAAGCCCCGGGCCTCCTCCGTGCAGGGCGCGAGGCCAGACACTGTCGCGGACAACACGGGAGAGTCCGAGGTGGCTCCCAAGTGCCAAATCTTAAAAATGAGGCTGAGCAAAGTGATGGGGCAGAAGTACGAGGTGATGGGGTGCACTGTCGGCGTCTTTCCATGAATTGTATCCCACGATGTGTCCCCATACAGAAGTGTACGATTATGAGAAAATAACTAGTATTACAACGATGAGATGTTGACTGAAAGATAGACAAAGTATGAGGGCGCGTAACATTTAAAAACAATGGACATCTGATTATCAATGTGTTACACGTATGTTGTTTGTATAGGCATGGATTGTGCAATGCAGCTTGACTGCTTTGAGTTATGGAACATCTGCTTTAGTAGATTGCAGTCACTAATACATGATGTTAAGTAATGTTACAGACGTTTGGGAATCCAGTAGGTCTGTCAGAGTGGAGGCATAAATGCATGCTGTTTACTGAAAAAGGATAATATACATACTGTATTTATTTTTTTTATTGTCATCAGTAATGTTTTGCTGTTAATCTGCCTCTAAAATACAACCTGAATTGGGTGCAGTACACCTGAGAGTATCAGATCTTTGTGTGCTAACTCACATTTCAAACACTGTCATGAACATACAGATCATGCACGATGGAAAAATCGATAGTAAGTAATGGTGAAATGTTTGCTTTGTGACATTTATGTGAGATTTATTGTGGGAGAAGCCCCGCGCAATATTTATCACTAATAACATACGATGAAAAAATGTCTTCTTCAGGTATGATTCCCCATTTTTAATCTTTTTAATGCTCATTTTTAACAGAACAGTCCGAGGCAAAGAAAACAAATCTGTTTCCAGCCATTGTATATGGACAGAGAGCCTCTTCCTTTGTTTCCTGTGATGAAGTCGTGTCGACACTTATGTTGCATTTGAAAAGTAATTTTAACACGATTGCCTTAAAACCGATCAATAAGGCACGTCCCGTTAAAAAAAAAAAAAATAAGCTTTTCCAAATTTGGCCTAAGAAATCCGGCTCCCTTTGAGACAACAGTGACATGTGACCCACGCGGTCAGTAGTGTAGTGGTGCATTCAGGCACTTTGCAAACTCTGAAATTTGGGAAATATTGCCTATTTATTTGGTCAACAGTCACTGTTAAAATCAAGTGAACTGGACAGTTGAAAAAAGAAACCACAAGGTGTAAATAGTGGAAGCTGGGCATACACACACTACTGTTTGTTCTTGTTATCAGTTTGTATTTTAAATCACTGGGTGTTGCAGAGAAATGGACATTATGTTTGCCAGTTGTCCTCCAGGTGTTGTGTAAAAGTGAAATGTCTCAGATGTACTGTAAACTTGGAATGTGCCACAGTTTCTCACCAGTATTTACCACTTGGCTGGCCATTCTGGGTGATAAACCTTAGCGTTTTTTGACTTTACCAGTTGACGATGAGTGCCTGAATGCACCGTGAGTCTTGGCGTCTGTGAGGCCAGAGCTAACCGCTATAATTTTTGACTACTCCTAAAAATCCAGAGGGATAAGAAAAGTGAAGTCATCAAGATTCATCAAGTCTTGTCTTTATTCTTATCACATTTGTACCGTTTTTGATTAACTTATTTGAGGCAACAGTCCCGGAAACGAGTGTTAATGCCATCTTGGATCATATTTACTCCTTGTGCCAAACGGTTCTCTCTAATGTCACGACTTACACGTGACGCCTCTTTGCAGCTCCTTAAACAGTGGTGCACAACGGAGCAGATGAAATCTTCTCGAGCTGGTTCGTTACTGTTGGAGAAAGCCACATGCTTGTATTTAGTCTTATGTACATACTAAGTGACTGTGGTGATGCTGAGAACCTGTTGACACCATCAAAAGGACACAATCTTCTTTCCCGATGCTTTGCAGAACTGTTTCTGTTCTTGCGACGGCATTACCACGTGTGTGTGTGTGTGTGTGTGTGTGTGTGTGTGTGTGTGTTTATAATCAGTAACCATGACGTATGAGGTGCTAGACCTATCAATTGATAGGTTTTGGTTGCCCATTTTTTATTGTGTATATACGTTTTGATCACTCACAGATTTTATTGTGTACATACCTATAAATATAAAAATGTGATAGCTGTTGTTCATATTCTGTGTAGGGAGTGGTTAACATTCCGCAGCCTGTTCAGCAAATGCAGTTATGTTGTGCTTTACTTTCCTAGCACTGCAGATTCAGAAGCTGACGTACTTGTTTGTTTGTTATATAAATATATATTATTATTTCAAAGGCGTTTAAGGGCGTGACGGTTCCCTCTGAATGTTTTACTTTGCCTTCCATTTACCTCTCATTTGTGTTACTCATGTTCCTGTTAAAGCTGTTTTTGGTTTATTCTTTTTGTTTATTATCGTGTTCCATGCTTTTATAATAACAATTATGTAACTCTTTTTTTTCTATTAAAACATGATCACAATTTGTATGGTCTACTCCCTTTTGTTCAACAGAATTGTGTCACATAAAGTGCTCATCATTAACCCACTGTGAGCCTCTCAGAGCTGTTGGTTACAAAACAAGCAGTGGTGGAGCAAACATTCAGGCCTTTTATTAGTTAAAGTAGCAATACCACGGTGTAAAAATACTCTGAAACGTTCCTGTAAGTTTCCAAAGACGGCCTCTCAGATGGTTCTGTGTAACAATCCGTACGGCGTGTCAGGTTTGTTGGGTTTTGCAGTAACGACCAAAACGAGCAGTGGAGCGGTAACGTTACAAAGCGTAGAGAGCCGGAGGAAATGAGTAAACTTAAACGGCGTAATGCTTCATTCACACACTCTTGTCACTCCTATTTCTATGGGATAATTAAACATAACCTACAGTATGCTATCTAATGTTTTCCTCGGACTGGTGCAAATAGCATTGTTAGCTACAGAAACCTGGGTGCTAATAGTATTTGCCTATTTATAAACCCCATGCAGGGGGAAGAGCACTCTACCAAACATGTATTTACATAATCATCATCTAGCTATTTGTACTCGGGTGTCAAATATGGTGAAAGATGGAATTTTGAAACAGAAAATGTGTAGGAATCCTGATTGTATAAATCAGTTTAATGTTGTAGCTTGGAAAGGTGGGGCTTATAGTAAGTTATTTATATGTATTTTGGAGTAAACCACTACTACAACGTGGTAGATTAGAGGTATTAAGTAGTATAACATAAAATGGAAATGCTCAAGTACCTCAAAACTGTAGTCGACTTCAGTACAGTACCTGAGAAAATGCACCTCAACTTTCCACTGCTGTTGTTGATTTACTATCTTGTAATAGTGACTGATTGTGTCATCATTTTGTCACGATTAGAGTAAATTGTCAACTATATTGTTAATTGATCAATTCTTTAAACGTTATCAATCAAAGATGGCAAATACTTTCTGCTTCCAGCTTCTCATTGGGCTATTACTGTATGATTCAGCTTTTGTGGTATCTTTTACACTTTTTGAATAATCACAGCTTATGTTTTATGCTTTTTTTCAGACCTTTTCTGACTTTATAATGGGTGTGTATGTCGCAGCTCAGAGTGCATGATGTCATCACTAGAGTGGAGAGGAGCTTCAGAATCTTGTGAAAAAAACATTTATATATATATATTTTCACCATTCCCACAATTTTCCCTCTTCATGCATCATTTTTGGTCAAAGTGTAGCTAATCTTGTCCTGGTCGTAGACATGTGACTGTGGAATCCAACAGATTTACACATTTGGTCACAGCAGCCTGAAAGTGAGAGAAAGTCCAACTATCTGCTCCATAGAGACCAATGTTGATTCTTACACTACAGACACAATTCTCACTTCATCTGGTCATCAAGTCATCCTTCCTCTCCAGTTCTAATCTGGAAGCAATAGAAGCTACGGTTATGTGAGTTTTGAGACCACTTTGACAGATGTGCCTCAGCTTTAACTCCATGTGAAGCCTATGTGTGTCTCTTTGAAGTTACATCGCTATGACAACCTTTGATGCTGGCAGGTACACAGGTGGTTGATATGAGCTAAATCGTGCAGTTTGATACACACAAATATACACTGACACTTGCACACATATACACTAATGACATTTACTAATGATATTCAGGCAAAGGCATTGTTAGACCTCCTCTTTGTCTTTGTCTCTCTCTCTCTCTCTTTGTCTCTCTCTCTTTATCTCTCTCTCTCTCTCTCTCTCTGTTTGTGTGTCTCTCTCTCTTTATCTCTCTCTCTGCAGGGAACATATTTTCTAGTTGATAATGTAAATAATTGTAAGGGTACAGACATTGTTTTTATTTGACACAGGCAAACACTTTCACAATTTGTGTACTCAGTCATCTTTTTCCCAAAAAACTTCATGAACTCAAGCAGATGTTTTGTTTTCCAACCAGATGGCATTTGTGGTGAACATTTCGGACGATTATACGATCTGAAATTCACAACCGTACAACTAAGGTACAAAGAGCTAAACATTAACAAGAAAAGGACGTTGGGAGTATTGTGTTTAGTAAAAGCTTGACAGCAGAGTCAGCTAGCCATTGTAGCCACGAGCAGCAGGTATGAGCTCATCGTTGTTATCTGGGTCTGAAACAGGTCAAAATAAAGAGCAAGGCCACCTTGTATTCTTAATTGACATTTAGGGAAACTCTAGAAATAATAGTGGAACATATTAACAGAAAAATGGGCTTATGACGTAGAAAAAGCAGCGTGTTTACTCGATGGCTTGTAAATATTGGTGGGAAATTAGAATAAGCGATTGCTCTTGGGAATAAATTCAGTGTGCTGCTTCATGAAGCAGTCCTCTGCTTGCTGTATTACTCTACTACACACAGTGAATATATTACATCAATACACTATTAACGTCTTAATGGACCTGAATATTTCTTGGCTGAGCTAAAGTAATTTTTTTTCCATTGATTGAGCAGATTATCTTTGCTGGAATGATTCACGTGTTATTGCAGCAGTTGGACAACATCATTTTTTGTAATGGGACACGTCAGCACACAGTTTTCTGGACATTTGCTTCTGGGCATGCTTCTCCCGCTGATGAGTGTTATTGGGAATATGGAGTGAATCTTGATGATGTCTGCCACAGAGTCGAACATCTGAGGAGAAATAAGATGTGAGCTTTCGGTAAACATAATGAGGAGAGCGCTTGTTGAACTCTCTTTTTGAGACCTTTGTCCACTCACATCATCTGACCGTTGTCCCGTTCCCAGGGCGTACTTGCCGGAGCTCTCGATGAACCGGAGTTTTATATTGTAAACCTTCTTGCTGTGATACACGGCCAGCACCAACGGCTCCCTGTTGGTGTTCATGGAGCAGTCTCGTACCAAAAAGGCTCCGTCCTGAAGTGGTTAATGTGAGAAACAAAAGAAGGTTAGCTTCAGATATATTCAGATCTTTTTTTTGTTTCATTTCATATTAGAGGAGATACTGTGTCTTTTTAGGTCATTTTTGTTATCACATCATTTAATGAGTTGTACAAAACCAATTTGTCAAGATTTAGAGCGTTGGAACTCGCGTCCTGTTTCCTGGTTAGGACAAATAGCATTGATAAAAACGGCAGATTACTTTATCTCATTCAAATGATTATGATTGGAGTTACGCAACCCAGTTTAGATTCATAGATAGAACACATACAGTATATCCTCTAATCGCGCATTCTTTTAACCCCTCACTTTCTCCTCTGTGTCTCAAATGTAAAACTGAAATAGGTCCCTTAACTCATCGCCGATGGTCATGTTGTAATTTACAGAAATATTGGTTTGATATACAGGATCCAGTGTCTTTGATGTTGGGCAAAAGGTCACAAGACATTCTTACTTTTGCTGCTAGAAAGAACATCTTATTTGGAGTATCTTACAGATATTCTATACCAAAGCAGATCAGTTCTACAAAGTCTGGCTGCTCTATCTGAATTAGCTTGGACCTGATTTTTCTTCCATTATTTTACAAGGAGTCTCCTGAACATGAGCTCTTGTAACCTGTCTATGTTTGTCGACCTGGGCAGTGTTTGTTTTGCATTTAGTTTGCGTCTGTTACTATTGATTTAATGTTTGTTTGATTCTTGTCATTCTTGTGTGTATTGTTGAAACAAAGAGGAGATCCAGTACCTTGTTCACCAGGTGTAAGGCGTGCTCAGCGTCTGCTCGGGAACAAGCCCCGACATACCAGTCTTCTTCGTTGTAGGTCTGCCAAACATTAGCAATGGCGGAAGAATTACTCAGATCTTTTACTCAAATAAAAGTAGCAAGTTTAAAAATACACTGTTACAAGTAGAAGTCATTTTATAATCTTACTCAATCTCAAGAAAAATATTAGCATCAAAATATAGTTAAAGCACCAAAAGTAAAAGTATGCAGAAAGGCCCATTTCATAAAAATATAGAATATATGATACCACCGGATTATAATTAGTAAGGCATTAATACCGCTTTCATGTTGCAGCTGCTACAGAAGAATTACTTTTTATATTTATGGGTAGTTTAACCTACAACAATACATCATCATTTGAATAGTTGACTCATATTTTGTATAAATAATCCAAATCTGTATTATTAAGTAGCAGTGAGTATACCTGTTGAGGTTTTCCCTTTGGAACAAAGTCATGTTGGTCAAAGTCTTCTTTAGTTTGAGGCCACTCATGGTGATGACGTTTTGATCGCACCCTTTCTTTAAGCATACGTTAGTGTTGACTCATTTCACCCATAACTGTATAATGATACTGATGATTCATAATATTACTTACCTAGACTTTGTTGTGACCTAAGCAACATAAGAAAGAATAAATCAAACATGACTTAACACGACATACTTCTTGAAAGTACGTCTTGAAATGCCTGAGAGATGACGCACCTTGTTTCTGTATTATGAGTTTCCAGATCCAGAGAATGTCTTGGATTGGTATGAAGGGATGAAACACTCTCAGCATGCTGTAGACCTAAAAACACATTCAACATTCAACCGCTGTCAAGACCTTTTCAACCAAAAAAATATTGCATTCACATTTATTTAGCTCTTACCTTTGGTATGTGAACTGAATTCAGCCTATTAGAAGTATTAAAAAGACAATTTGATAAAAAAAAAAATAAAATAAAATAAAAAAGTCAGGTTACAAGTTTAATTGTGTAGAATAAAATACAATTCATAAAATTCATAAATGATTAATTAATTATAAAGTTATGGCTGAAAGCACTGAAATCTGACACTTTACTTGTAATAATGCTGCATGTTTGACTACTTACTTTTTTAGTTGCTCTCTGTCCACTGAAATGAAGAAGAAGTTTATTGTTAATGAATTCATCATTATTAAATATGACATCACAATGTGCTTGATCAACGAAAGCCACAAGCTTTTTCTGTGATCATGATGTTAACCAGCAGATGGCGTCACTGCCACACGGTTCAAACTCTGAACTCAGACGGCTTCTTTGCACTTTCCGCCATTCACACAGAGGAAAGAGGTCACACGGGGTCTGTCCACACAGTAAAAACAGTTCTCACTCTCTCCTGCAGGATTCGCCTATAGTCAGCCCGGGCAAGTGGTTCACTATCTCTGTTGGAGGTGAAGGACATCGCCTGGAAGTACACAGACTTTAGCTGCAAGACCATCCACAACTCATTTAAACCCAACAATGAATGACTTGAATAGTAGTTGAGCAAATTACCTGTGTGAGCACTGTGATATTAGAAAGAGAAAGAAATCATCACCTATTTTAGGAGTTGCAATCAACACGGTTTACTGACACAGAAACAGAGTCAACAGTAAGTCCTGTATGTATGGTGAGGTGGTTACCTGCTCTACTGGCAGCACAGGTGAGAACCTCTTATCTGAAAGAGCAACATGTGAGTGTGTGAGATGCTTCTGAGGCCAGAGGACGGTGAAAGAGAAGTTAATTAAGTTGTCTTACCCGATCTGATCTTTCTTCTGCCTGGCTTCATGTCTCTGTTTATTGCAGGTCCGGGGACTAAAAAACATGCAATGCAGAAAGAAATAATGTATAGTGTACAAGTACTTAAAGTAGTGCTCATAAGTACAACTTTGAGGTTCTGGTACTCAAACTCAAGAGGGAAATTTGACACTTTTAAGTAAACTGCAAGGCCTACAGTTTACTTTAAACTGAAACATGTAATGCCACTACTGACTTGAAAGCCATCTGAAGTATTACATGCTCATAAATCCATCATGGTCATGATCTGAAACACTGTTGGTTATCGGTGCTATATTTTGGGATTGAGAGCATTTTCTATCGCTTGTCAACGGCTCTCAACATATCGACGGCGAGCCAGCGGCTCACAGCTAAAAGTGCTGGCAGAGTTAACAGTGTTCATTGGAGGGTGGGTGCTACGCTTCTGCGACGACGCTTTCGGTTTGGACGATGTTATCATCTGTAACCGTGTAACATATGAGAGCAGTGCAGAGCAGCGGCCGTTAGCTAACCAGCGGAGCACGCTCACATGCGCGCTCACATGCACTGAAAGCATGCGTGGCTCAGGTAGACTTCAGTTACTTCGATTAATTTGCATAGCAAGTAGTTGTTTTCTGCTATATTAATGCTCTGAATATCAAATTTAGCACTTTAAAAAAAAACTTCAATTTTCCATTTTGGTGATTTTCATTATAAACACTCATTAAAAAAGGTATTAGAAATGTTTAATGTGATTTCAAAAAGTGTGTAGGTACCTTGAACTGAGAGAAATATCAGTTTTTTTAGCTGGTGAATGATTGACTGTGTTCCCTCACTAGTTGCCAATTTAGCTGTCTGCCTCTATGGGGGATTTTATCAGAGCTATTGTCTTGAAAACAGTTGGAGCCATGCAGTAGCAATACATTACAAACATTACAATGAGCTAAAAGAGACTGAAAAGCTCTGTAGAGATGGTTTCGTGTCTGTTTTCAGTATTATGAGTGGCCCTTTCACATCCTAGAGAGCCATTTGATTTCATATTTAATCTTAAATAATGCAGGTTAAGTGGCCCTGTGTAGCTTTTGCTGAGCAGCAGCCAGTCGCCAAGTAGCGAAAAGTCATAAAGTTGCCAACAGCAGCTAATAGCTGCACTATGCAACACCGTACTGGAACCAGGCCATTAAACTTCTCCAGAATGTCTGTATCGCATCAAAATTCAGATGATGGAGCTTTTAATGTCACTTTACCTGAAGTAAGTGGTATTTCTCTTGGGAGGATGTTGGAGTTACCCTGACGAAGAGGAGAGCACATACAGAAGAAGCAGACATTTACAGCGGCACAGTTGTAATGGAGAATTCATCTGAAGAAAAACAGAAAACTTACAGTCCAGACTGATGAGAGGCTCTGAGCCGATGATGACCTTGGGAGATCCCTGTCTTGAAAGCAAAAGAAGTTGAGATGCCCTCACTCTTATCGGCGACAGTAATGACAGTAGTTTCAGTAGTTCCAGCGTTAGCTGACAGTTCAAATGAGTTTGTATCATTGTTATAGCTCGGTGGCTGCCGGTCCCAGCGGCACACCGCAGCAGCAGACTGTATTGATTACAGAGGGAGAACACTCCGAGTGTGAACAAATTTAAAAGCCACGTTCAGTGTTAAGTTGTCGACGTGCAGCTGTGAGGCCCCTGGCTGTGGGCCACATCCATGCAGCAGAGTAAAGGGAGTCTATTCACACTACATGCTTCCCCCATCTCCCCCCTTTGGCTGCTGGATAATTGTAATCTCCCGCAGTCGGCCTCAGCCAACAGATGGCCCTGGAGACACACTGGCAGATCATGATCACTCAGCTTGAGTTCCCTCCCTCTCTTACTCTCTCTCTCTCTCAGAAACACACTGCTTTCATTCTCACCACAGTTTTGTGGTGGAGCTGTTATTGTGTGCCTGCACTTCATTCAGTTTCATTCTAGTTATGTTCACCGGAGCTTTTCTCTGTAGGAAAGTGAAATAAACTCACTCTCATTATGTCGCAATGCAAACACTTAGACTTAGAGTTCATTCTTAGGTTTTTTTGGATATGGGTTCATGAACTATTTATGTGCCATCATTTTATATATTCTAATGAGAATAAGATGTGTGGTGACAAATATTAAAGGTCAGATTCACTCCTACAGACGGGCAGAACTACCCACTGAGCCACGAAGATGACAATTTTCTAAAGATAAGTAACCCTTAACCGGAACTAAAAACAACACTTGAGAGCAGTGTGAATGTGAATGTGAATGATGTCATTGTTTTCCTCTCTACCTGCATACTCTGTCTCATCATTTAAGGGCCTCGCAGGAAGTATGCGCACATGAACCACTCCCTGCTGGTCATCCACCACGTCGTACTCAGGCTCCTCCGTGTTGTTAAATTTGCCGCATCTGTCATTTCTGTTCCTGGCTGCCCTCTTGCGATCCTGTGGAGAGGAAATTGCAGTTTCTTGAAATTGGAGATACTAAGTGTACGATAGACAAGCTTTATCTTCGTCTTGTAACACGGAGCTCTTAGACATTGTGAGCGTGTCACCAAGATTTAATACAAGAAAGACTGCCTTTGATAACAATCTCCGCATGCGTCCATTGATTTATTGGAAACAAGTATACTAATCTGGTTTAAAAAAAATGAAATCAGTAAACCTGATCACATTTGTGTCTTGCTCATTACATCAACCATCACACCGTAATATATTCTGAGTAGACAGTGTTAGATCCTTTACACGTATGCAGCACTGATAAGCACCGGAAGCTATGAGGTGTTGCAACAGAACCCACGAGGGATTTCCATTTTACAGCTTCACACTTTACAGCCAGAGACTAACGTGCACACATTCATAGCCAGTCTGTGACACAGTGTTAATTAATGAAAAATTGTCTATTTCTGTTAATTAATGGATGCACTGTGATTGTACTTTTGTGCAGCTGTGGCAAAGCTGGAATAAAGGGTGAGATCAGGATGAATACATTATGAGAGGGTGCATCAATCACCGCCAATCAAACCAGCTTCTCTCATTCAATTTAAAAACAATGTGTTTCACATCAGAACCGGTTCTTTTTTCTATTGTAATGAAGAGGAGAATCATGATTGACTTTATTTTTTCGGAGAGGAAATTGACGTTTCTTTCCGGCAGGTGCAGTGTCATCCTGTAATATGTCGCCAAAAGGCAGGAAATGTCTCTCTTTGGAAGTTCATGTTCCTTTGTTTTCATGAGTAATGATGAACCCCGAGAGTTTATTTTGAAATCCACTGATTCATACAAGAACCACATGTTTGGGTGTGTGGGTGCACAAACGTCTTTTCCAAATAAAACACAAGTTCCGGTTCTTATATTGCAAGAGGTGGTTGGACAAGATTGACTCAAGCTTCTTGTTGTAGCTGAACAATGTCATGTTTTTAACTATGAAAAATTGCAATGTCTAAAACAACTATACTTCGCTTTTCAATTGGCTGAAAAGCGTATAATAAAAAGGCCCATTAACGCATTATCAGAAATAAACATACTTTGTACCTGCATTTTTATTATTAATTTGACTGCTCTCAGAACTGCATTTAAAGCATATTGACCTCTATATGAGGTGAATTTATTATGATCTAATATTATTTTGTTTAAATTCCAGCAAAGGCAAAATATACTTTGCCACACAGGTCCATATTTTTAACAATTTAATACAAATATTTTACTGTCATTGAGCACATTCTTGGCCAGTGTGCTGAACACGTCTAACTCATCGCTCTATCTAGAGGCTGCAGATGGAGCAGGCACACTTGCAGTCTTCAGGTGGCTACAGGGATCTAATCATCATCCTGCAAGTCATCATCCTGCAAGCGGATGACAGTTACTGGTAGGGAACATTCTTCTCTTTAAACCCAGTACAGACTCTGTCGTATTAGCATTACTGAATTTATTACTTCTAATTTCCGTTAGTGATTAGCATGATCCTTGTTAAAGACAGAGAGCGGGAAAGTGCACAACCTGAGAAGAGTTCATGTGATTTTCGAAAGTCGATTAAAAGGAAGCCTAAAGCCAGAAACTCGATATCAAGGCGTTCTACACCTTGTGCCGTTTCACTGTGCTGCATTTCTGAGAAAGTATCATGAGCCAACGACGTGTAGAAAGTACACCACAAAAACCACCAAAACATGATGGCAGGTTTCTCGAAAAAATATACCAGGTAACACAGTCTGTTACAGTGTTTCATTAATGTTATCAATGCTATTTTACTGTTTACCGTAAATATGCATGTAAAGCATTCATAACCACAATAAAACAGTTATGTGGAGTGGAGTGAGAACTTTAATTTAATCCGAAAGGATATTAATGTTTCATCTTTTAAAAAATGTATTCAAATATCTCCCTCAAATTACATTAAAATATTATTAATCTTTTGAGCTTTCATTAATTTGAGAGATGATTATTGTATAAACCAGGGAGACTAAATAAATTGAAATATTTGTTCATAATTTTGCTTCAAAAGGAATAATAATGCAACACTGAAGTTATTAATCGTCATCCACATCGGTGTTGTTTTTCTGTGCACTAACAATGACAGAGCAGAATCTCACTCTTTCCTCGTTTTTGTGCTAAAAGGTAATTACACAAGGGGGCTGCAGACTCTCAAAGCTTCCCCTGGGAACATTCATGTGGAACCATCGAGGATACGGGTCGGGCGCCATAACTCACCATTATCACAGCAGACGCATGGCTGTTCCCTCTCTCTCTGCAGCTAACGAGGGGCTGAAACAAAAATGAAAAACATTAGTTTGGTGTTCTGCTAAAGAATGTGTCCTTGGACTTTTTCTCCTCAACAGTTACACATGCAGAAGAAAGAGGTCTCTATATGTAACTAAACAGAGCTGCTAGTGGCCCCTCACTGTGTGTTCATCTGAGTTACAGTTCTAACATTCACTGGCAATAAACTATGTTGAAAATATTGATAGATTTATAATTTTATTTGACCACAAAGAGAAAAGGACAGATGCTGCTTGAACATGGAAATATTAAAAAATCTAATGCCGTATATTTGATTATTTTTTGCAACATCATGTATTTCTCTATATTAAATGGAACTGCAGTAAAATCTGAATTTAGGTAAACACCAAAAAAAATCCTTATTTACCTGAATTAAAATTGTATTGTTTGTATTCATATTCATCACTCAGTATTTAAAGTGAGACTGTGTGACAGAAAGAAAGAAACAAACAAAGAAAGACAATTGAAAGGAAAAATAACAGAGTTCCCCTTTCAAAGTAAAACGTTGTTTAATAAACAGTAAAACAGTCCAGTAAAGTCAGAGGGTTTGAAAAGTAGCTAAAGGTTGCTAATGTTAGCTAACGTTTGGAGAGATACAGCAGTGTGACGAGCATTACTGAGCACCACTATCTCGTATATCACTTGTGGTCACAGTAGCTGCTGTTCAGCAAAAGATACATAGTTTTACATACACAGATCAGAGCAGCCAATTAATAATACAAAATAATATGAAAATTAATATTAACACGACATCATTTTATATTGCTTTGCCAAGAGCTAAAGTCTGGTATCATCAGCATAGTGTAGAAAATAAGTTGCTGTGCCAGCAAATGATGTAACATAATACACAACAAATTCAGTTAAAGCCATCACTATTACCATTGGTATTTGTAAATAAAAATGACAGTACTAAGATGCATACAGAACATCAATATTAAATGTTATTTTAAGAAGGTACCACCTTGGTATTCATTAGAAGTGTCTCAGTATTAATCAGCAGTGCTGGTTTCACCACTTTCTCTTCAAAATATTGATCTTAAACCAACCGAATATCATTCGAGGGAAGAAAACAAAAACAGTTTTGTCTATTCAGACTGTTCAATTATCGACACCTGCAGATCCAAACAATTGCCAATATTTCATTGACGTGTGCAAATGGTCTGCAAAACTGTGAAAGCAGCTTACATAGTTGTGACAAATCACAGAAATATTCATATATTGTGTTATTTTTGGATAGTGCAAGCAAAGTTCCAGATTTTCTGTGCTCCACAGTGCTGTGAATACCACAGAGCGAGAAGGAGTGTCATTGTTGTGATCTCAATGCGGATGACGAAAAGAGGACTGAAACTGATACGTGGGTCTTTGTCACATATCCTTCATTTATGAGCTTTTTAAGACATACTATCAATTTTAAAATCATGTTTTCAGGGAGATAGGCAAGAAGAGGAAGAGAAACACAGGGTGAGCGCCAATCAATCACTCTTTGATTGACAGGTTTTTATCTTTGAATCCTTTTGGCTGTGAAGGAAAACAAAACAGGAAGCAGGAAGGGAACCTATACCAAAATAGAAGTGAGGACATCTAAGCGAGGCTCAGGGATTGCGATAATGCCAGGAGACATTACAGGCTACCAGCTCACAGTCCCACAAGGGAGAATCAAACTCAGTATTGGATTTGGCAGTGTGGTCCAACACTCAGCGGGCCAGTCTGTCTACTTTGCAGAGCTTACTGGGCCATGGGAAGCGGTGTTGGATAAGACGTATGAAAAGGAGAGGAGATTAGATACTTGCAGCCAGCGTATGAGGTTGAGCAGTTAGTCTGGAGAATAAACGTCTGCCCCATGGAAATTGGGTGCAGAGGATTTGTGGCAACTCAAACCACCAGACGACTTAAGGATTTGTGACCTGGCTTTTCTACGGGAGTCAAGAAAGTATCAACTGCAGAGAGCGAGAAAGAGCTCAGTCTGAGGAGGGAAACAATATCAACAGGGACCAAACTAGGACATAACGTGGATTGTCTGTCATAAAATGTTACTCACTATGGTTTATAACATTCTTGTTGCTGTTGACGTACATATTTAGGTGTTTAGTGTATTTATACAGTTCTTTTTAAAAAGCCAGGACCATTTAAAATGAATGAAAATGTGTGTAAAGCATGCAGTATTTCACTTTCACTACAGGAGAAGATGCTGTGAAGATGTTAAAGCTATTATTAAGAGTGAACACAAGATAGTTTAAATGTATAATCAGTGTTAGGTGCAACTATAAAACAATGAGTTTTTTGTAAAAACAATGTGATTAAACCCCTAATTCACACCCCCCAATTCCTTATAAGTTGAGATGACAATTGCCGTTCATAAATTACATAAAATCTAAGAGCAAATGAAGTCTTGTTCTTGAATTTTAATCAAAGCAGGATTTGCAGTTCGAGCAGGAAATACCGCATTTCAAAGCTTGTCTCGTCTTTAAAGTTCATTACTTATTATTTTCATCTATTTTTACAACAGATCGACTTTTAACTGCTTTTCTACGCACTCACAAATACAGCAGTTACTTACCTCTTTTGGAAGATCCAACTAGTATCCAGCTGGTTTCTGCCTATTTGGTCAAATGTATTTGGTTACAGAAAGAGTCTGCAGTTTTCTTTTCTCTCGCACAGACCTACAGAAAACACCTGGGCTGCTTCAACTCTGACTATCGGAGTCAAGCCGCCCACTGCAGTAACCCAAAATGACTTCCTGTGTGGTGAATAACTGGCCTATAACTTGAGGTCTTCGCTGTTGTTTTAGACAGTAAAAGGTTTCTTTGTGGAGGGCTTCTTCTTATGCATCTGTGTTCTGATATGGTTATTATTATTTTTTAAATGTTTCTTTACATTCAATTTTTTGCATAAACCTTTTTCTGCCTTTGATGAAGAGCCTCAGCCTTGGTTAGCTTTTATTGTGCAGTGTGAGTTAGTTTTCATGCAACATACATACAAACCAGGTCCAGAACATTTGTTCAGTGCATCCGGGTCAAATGAATCTTCCAGTGCGACAGGTATTTCTCTTAATTTGAGCAGGAACATGGTGACATTTCAACATTTGCTCTGCCAAGTGCAAAAGGAAGCAGGGTGACATTTGCTCTTTCCATCAGATCAGCATCTGGCTTCATTTTTATAGCAAACAAGAAGGTGAACCCAGATTACAATATTTTATTCATGCCCTTTCAAAGCGATATTTCCCTTTAGTGTAACATTTTCAGTTAATAGCATAAACACTTAATGGAGAGTCTACTGCCACGTAGGTTATACTTTAAAAACTTTAAATAAATGTCCAGTTACAACATGGATTTGTTTTAGCAGGCTGGTTAACACAATAACCAAATGGCATTTAACTCCAGCTGTTAATAGTTGTTACATAACAGCTGAAATGAGGCACAAAAATCTGCTGAATCAAGCTGAGAATATTTTAACACCGGTGGTGAAGCTGGGTTTCATTGGCCCGTGAACATGGCACACTGACAGTAGTGAGAGATATATTTAGAGGTGAGCATTACTCAAACTTATTTAAATCCTGAGTGCTTGGCCAGGAAATTACATGATATTCTGCTTAAAATCTTCATTCTGCAACCATTATGTGTAACACTCACCACGGTCACTTCCTAACCCTAAGGGAAGAGAATAACATTTTTGGTCACTCAGGCCAAAGATTACAGAAATCTCTTGTCTGTTGTGACATGGTTTTAATTTAGCTTCAGCCGCTGCCTACAGTTGTGGTGGTAACATTGTGGTCGACTATATAACGCTGAATACTGAATGCTTAACGTGCAGCCTCATAGCTGAAAATAGGGCAACAAAGCATTCAGAGAATCATATTGTAAACAAGTATAATTTGGAGGTTTTACCAAAAAGTGAGTGGACCCGTAGTGTTGCTGAAAATCCCTCATAGTCGAACCACAACTGTACTCTAAGTCAATGTTGAACCAGGAAGTCAATCATTGAACTGTGGTTAAACCGATTTTAGGTATCCATTTTTTGTGCTTGTTTCCCTCCGAATACAGTTTTCTTATCTGCCTATGACCAATCTGACCTGCATAACAATGTCTCCACATTCCAAGAATGCCACAATTAACTGAGTGAGTGTTATTAACAGTATTTTAACCAATAGAACCGATGGCAGATCTACAAAACTCAAGTTTAGTTTTTCCTTAAAAATTGTTATGGAGGCAAAATTATGTTTTACAGATATTTGTGAACCCCAATGCATTTCAATATATTATAGTAACGACGGGTCAAATTATTATGTTTAATTAAATAAAATCTAAAGAGAATGATCAATTCAGCTCTACAGAACGTTAGATCGAGTGAAGATCATTATTTTAAAGCAGTTGAAAGTCTCATAAAACATTGAAGATGTTGGCGATAAAGTTGTGCAATAGCTCTCAAACTACTCTTTGATCAACACAGAAACCCTTCCTGTCTGAAGCGGGTTGGAGGCCCGGCCTCCTCCAAAAAGCGATGCAGCTGAGCACAGGCGCACAAGGTCAGCCTCTCTCCTGTGGTTTCTTCTGCAACGGTATAGCCTGACTTCCTGTGAAAGATTACCATCTAGCCTCTCATATTCTCACTGATGCTTATCTTTTGAGCCACAAACGCCAACTCCCCGAACATCTCTACACCTTGGCCCCCAGAGACAGCCCCATCGGCCTGTCAATCTGGCAGCTCATCCTGTGTCCTCAACCCCCCCTCGACCTCCTCCTAGCAGCCAAAAAAATAAACCGACCTCCCCTCTGCTGTCCTGGACCTGTCGCTAAGAAATAAGATCTGTGGTCCCAGTCCGGGGGGGGGGGGGGGTGAGGAACACAGAGGTTGAATATGGGTGAGGTGTGTGCATGTAAGGGTGGGTTTCATTGGTTACTACAACCCAAGTCCTTCATGCATTCACGGGCATCTCACTGCAGTTAAAGTCATGATGTTGAATTCCACAGGAAGGACGCATAAATGATAAACCACATTAAAAACAAGATCGAGAACAGTTGCAGAGGTAGTCAGAATCAGGAGGCCCTCCTGTTTTGTTGCCTAAATCCAACTGAGTAGTTTCCTGTGAAGAATGAAGTTTATTTTGAAAAGACCGTATACATGTAACGAGGGGAAATTGACATGTGTAACTTTTCGTGAGATACGACCGATTTGAATGTGTTAAGTTGGGTAGCTCTATGGATGGCAATGTCGGTCCTTCCATCACTTTGGTTCAGACGGACTATCTGATGGAGTGGCACAACATTTTGTACAGACATTCATGGTCCCCAGAAGATGAATTTGATCGACTTCTGAGATCTCTTGACTTTTCCTTAAGCGCCACGAACATGTTGACTTTTGTGGTTTTATGTGAAATATCTCACCAACTATTGGATGGATCGCCATGATATTTTATAAAGACGTTCAAGTCCCCCTCAGGATGAATTGTAATAACTTTGTCATTTGCTGACATTTCACTAAACGCCACCATCAGGTCAAAATTTGAATCTGCCCAATAGTTTAATTGACCAAATATGACCAAACTCGGCAAATGCTAGCGTATCTCTTAAATCAAGATACAAGAGGACAGTTAATGGATACTCAGGGCTGAAACTGTGCTGTAATCGTATAGACAACAGAATTAGAGGCAACTGTAAAGAACAGTTTTCTTTTCTTTTTGCTGAAGATACGAATTCATATCAATGAAACTAAAAGTGATTCTAGTAGTTTATAAGGAGCAAAAGTGGCATATCGGTCGGAGCTTGATAATTGTTCAAATATGACCATAACTGACAAATCATTTTCATCAAAGGCCTTCATAATCCTTTTAACATATGAAAAGTGATGGCAGTAACAGTTTGGATAATTAAAAAAAGAGATACAGGGAAAGAGATTCAGACGCTGTTCGACCCTCTAAGCACTTCGGTTAAAGTGCACTGACACCCTTAATAAAACAAAGACATTTACAAAAACCTTCTGTTTTGTTTGACTAAAATCTTTGTTATGGCAAACATAAGTAGTTTCATCGGAATGTGTCATAAAGTTCATATAAACGCTCAACATGAAGACAGGACATCAGTTTAGGTTGTTGTTTTTCTTTTAGCCCGACTTCATTGAGTGCTCTCTACTTTTGAACCCAAACTTACACAGTCACTCTTGTCTTGGCTTAATTATAGGCTGTATACTTGGTCACCGGCGAGCCCAGAAGTTGTCTTTCCTAATCTCCAGTATAAAAGAGAAAGATGAGATAGTGTCATACAGCCAGATAGATAAGATCAGAGTGAGGGATAGGGCAAGCAGTCTGGCCAGTGTGGCTATCTCTGGTGAGAGTGTGATTCAGCAGCGTGAATAATTAAAGCAGGGAGCAGTGATAGAAATCTGTAGACGCCGGGATCGAATAATACTGGACGGATATCGGGGGCCTTTGGTGTGGGGAGGTAGCGGCTGAGACGACATTAGTCACTCTCCCCGTGCCCCGGGCAGCCGCCAGGGCACAGAGCTGAAGGTCAGGTGATGATGGATGGACACAGAGACTGCCGGTGGCTCACCGCTAAAGTTGACTAGAAAACGAATGTCCTGTACATGAAATATTATCCTCATGGAGGAAGATACCTGATCTGATACTGCAGCGGTGTGTCTTGGCTCTGTGAAGTTCGTGAAGAGCTGAGGTCCCCCTGCTTGAAATGAACATTTTTTATTCATTATAATTACACCTGTGTCTCTGTCTGTGTGCTGAAGTTCAAAGCCTCATACTAACAATGTTCCTTTTATCTCCCCTACATTATTCTTTGTTTCTCTGAACCAGATGTCTCTCATGTCGGCCGCATAGAGACCCAGTCAGCTGTGACTGTGAATGTTCAGAAGAGGATGTGTTATTTTTGAGAACCAGTCATATGCAAACGACCACAACTGCCTCCTTGCTGACCGTTTCATTCATGGGTTTTATAAAAACTAAAATTTGACATTTTTAGTCTCGCAAATGATACTGCTCCAAATATAGGCCGCGGGTAGCCGTCACAGCATGCAAAAAGTTGCACTGAAACAAGCCTCCGCATGAACTGAACCACAAAAGAGCGTCCTCCTCTTCCCCGAGCATTAGTGTGATGGTACTGTAGCTCGCTTTCCCTCTCTCATAGTCCGTTCATTATAATGGCAGCAGTGTGTCGACAGAGCCTCCATGACGGCAAGGAGCCCCCTATTCAGGTCAACTCGCAGCCAGAAACGATTCCTTGATTATTCCTTATTTATCCCAGTCATTCCCCCTGCTGTGGCGTGAAGTCTCAGGAAGATGTGTGCCTGAGTGAGAGGAGCCAGGGCTAATGATGAGCTGAGAGCGGATCGTTAGCAGGCGAGGAGCTGCGCTTCACCCCACTCAGAAGACGCATTCAAATCATGAGCAGCCCAACATCTTATTCAAGCCACTAATGCAAGCAAGTAAAGCTAACGTGGAGGAGTTTACTGGGTTGTTTACATTATTATAATCGCCCACTCTGCATCCACTAAAAGGCCGAGGGAGATGAGATTCAAAATTTGGGTAGCAAATGTGTGTTTGCTTGCAGTGCAGCACATCAGTTTTCAATGAATGTCATCGACATATACAAGAAGACTAAGAGTCTGCAGCCAGCTAGCAGTTCTGACAGGCTTTGCTCACAAC